GCATTTCACTCAGAGTAGTAGTTGGAAGTAGTTTATTTTTTTTTCTCACACATATGAACTATCCTCCGGCAAAACTGTATGTAGACCTGAACGTTTTTTCATTCTTAATGACCTAGCGGAAGTTAGCTGTCTTGGTTTGATCCGACTCAAAACGAGGTCAATTCTTCGTGATCTTTGTCTCACAGCGAATAGGGGAGCTAAGTAACCCGCGGGTGACGGCCACACTTGAACGTCGTCAAAAAGAAAGCCAGCAAGACGGGAAACAACTCTGAATATGCATCATCTACCGTAATAGTACGACGACGTAAAACGTAAAACTCTCTGATGCTTCGGGAAGTTTTTAAGAGGACGTGGACCCACGAGGGCGAATTCCTCTTTTTCATCCTGTACTTAGGTGTGGTCGTTAGAAAGTCAACTTCAGGAAAATCCACCCACATTTGAAAAATTGAGTGAGTGGAATAATCGCGATAAACTTTCAAAGTACGCGAGTGCGCGTTTATAAGTGGCGTTTGTCGCTCTCGTCGCGGTCGTGACTGTAACTTATCGCTGAGGTTATCGCGCCTACACTCGTCTTACAATGTATAGTGAAGTAGCTCGGTTTCAGTAAGGGCAGTCGTTTGGCCCCATGTTAAGGAATCTTGGACTGGATTCCACGCCTTGGATTCCAGTCTTGTCATTGGAACTCATGGACTTCTGGGAACGTGGATTCGGAAGTCCAATCGTTAGTGGGATTCCATATTCATTTCGCTGTATTCCGGATTCCAAAGCCCAGGACTCCGGATTCCACGCTGAACAAAACTTCACAGAAATCCGGATTCTCTTACATGTCTCAGTCCGATTTTTTCAAACTTGTCATTTGGGATCATACCGTAGTTGATAAAGTTCCATTACATCTTTAGCCAAGTTTTCCTTAGAAACTAAACAAAACATTTGCTAATCAAATGTTCCGTGCTATTCTTGAACGTTGACGATACCGTATTGGAACAAACATTGATTCAATTTGGCTGTCTACGTGGGTAGAAAAACAAACATGTATCACATAAATCGCTCTGACGCTTTTAGCTTTTACTCAAAATAACTCATGATATCTATAACTGGCCCGGTTTTTCCTCTTCTTTGACCTATCGGTCAAGCTGATTGGCCTCAAACTAATAAATGATTCATGGGAGAGTGAACTTAATTAAACCCAAAGGAAATCATTGAAGTAACAGTATTAAATAACCGTCATTTGAGATAGATATGTAGGGGGTATATTTAAGCAATAATACTTTCTATGGGTTTACCGGCGTGATATATAGTGATAACCCACGCGGGATGTTGGGAGAACAAGTGAAAGGTTTGTCAATCACCGCCGGTAAACCCATAGAAAGTGTGGTCTATTGCTTTTGTAAAATAACTTTAAGTTTTCTGTGAGTTTACCGGCACAATAAACCATAGGTTTTTTAATCAATCGGAAAGCGCGTACTATCTTAGTTATTTTATAAATGGGGTATTTAACAATTATTCCTTCGGCCTCATGGGCTATTGACTCTGAGGCCATGAGGGCGAGAGGAATAATTGTTTTGGTAAAATCCAACCAGTTGGTCAAAAATATCGAGACAAAACAACTTTAGCTAGTTAAAGCAAGACTTTTTTTGCCGCCAAAAATCTGGCGCTTTTCGGTACTAGTGGGCTATAACATATAGCCTAGTAGTAGCCCAACCAATTAGAACGCAGCATTGATAATAGACCACTAGTTGGATTTTACTAAAGATAGTTATACCCTTTATCAAGCGATTGTCCATATACAATAGTATATAGTGGAAAGAGTGTTTCATAACTTGGCCGCGTCTTGGTTTCAAACCTTTCCATGGAAATTGCAATTGGATGCAAATTCATAATTAACTAAGTGCTCGCTTAACAGAGTAGTTTGTTCTGAAGAAAGCAGGGGATGGAAGGTTCGTGACTCTCTGATGCTCGCGTGTCCGCCTAATACGGGGTGTTCACTACTAATATGGACAGAGATTTACGATCCTTAAGACGTCTGCCGTCTCCGCTGTCAACTGTCAAGACAAAAGGAAGCAAATCTATCCAAACCCTCAACAGGAACACATTAATAACGAAATGAATAAAATGAAAGTGGTAGGAATGTTATGTTCATGCACATTTGCAACTCTTCCCTATTTTAATAGACACTGAAATGGATACAGGATCAATAGCCATCACTCAACGTATCAATTGATGACGTCACAAGCGATCGGCCAGTTATGGCGGTCCCACAGGGATGGTTTTCTATTATTTAGGTTTCAGTGGGTCTAAATATCATGCCAGCAGCGAGAAAATAAACAAGCTTTTTTTTATTCTTTTATTTAAGGACGAATAAAACAGTTCGCCAACATTTCTTTTAGGTTGTCAAGGAAATTTCTCCACCGGTCGAAACAATCTTTCTCAGTCGGGTTATTTTCAGCATACTTGTCTTCAGTATACAATGTTGTTTAGTTCTTAATTTTTTCTATTGAATGAAAATTTACATACTGAGCTCCGTTTGGAGAAGATTCGCCAGTAATGAAAGCAATTCGCGAACATTTAGAGAAAGTTTACTGATCTTGGTTTGAGGATGTTGTCAAAAAGATCAAGCTTACGTGACTATTGGATCGACTCCACCCTCGACCGTCGACAGCATAATCTTATTAGAACTATTTTTCTTGGCCTGGTGAGTGTTTTGTCCACCTAGAAACCCTTTAATCCAGGATACACACAACTGAGGGTCAAATTTTATATTTCCGACTCTGATAAAATATCTCTTTAACGACAACTTTTATTACTCAAGTCTTGATTAATAATAGGTTGATTTTCCGAGATAAGTCGGGAATGCCGATCAGAGACTCTGCTCGCAGGGTGCATTTAGGACAAAAGCCGCAAGGAAAGTACTTCATTTGCTAAGAGACATTTACTCTTTGATTTCATTTTTTCAAAGGTGGAAATTAAGAGCTGTCCTCCCTATATATCATAAGTCCAGCTTCCCGCTTATGTTTTTTCATTTCTCTGGGCTCACCTGTTATAATAATTTCCTTCTTAGTTTTTCAGTCTTATTCCACCTATCCTTTGTAGTCTCACGTTTATTTATAGCAGCAATTATGCTGTCAAGTAGAAAGTTGAGTTACAAGAACTTTCTTCGGAACTGCGTTTCTAGATCCTTTCAGCATTCTTTCGATCGAATCAAATTCGCCACAGATAAAGTCCGCGTCCTAGAATCGAACTCGTTCCGATTTGAATGCTACTGCCTGATCAGCAAAATATCAACAACGATCCACGGCAATAAAACCGAAATGATAGGCGTAAATTGACTGGTTCTTAGTTTGTTTTTTAATCATGACACAGCCTGCGAGATCTTGCAACAGATTTAGTGTTGAGTTCAGCGGGACCCTAGACATCACTTTTTTAACCTAAGTTAGCCAAAACGTCACACTCCCTTAAAGCCAAAAACTCCACAATCGCTTGGATCATGTTCTAAAGATGAGAAAAGGCGCGCCAGTTGGAGCTGCAGCAAAACATCCTGCTAGCATAACTATACAACGAGGAAGTCGAATCCTGTCAGGTTTAACCTCTTACCCTAATAGGACAAATTGATCAAACAAAACAAACAACAGAAGAAGACCTCTCGGCGTATCATATAATAATGTTGCTGAAACCCCGAGAATAAAATCCAGACGAAATTCGACCATGGGTTTGACCAAGCTAGGAAGCCGTCATCTCTTCAGCAGGGTAGTGGCATTTCATCCGATAAAAATCTTGTTGGTTGTAAAACTGCCAAAACCACCGCCTATGTGAAATTAAGCATAATCAAACAAAGTGCTAACATTAGAGTGGTACGTGATTAAGCATCTTTCTCAGTACCTAAAGACCGTGCTGTAAACTGTATGTTTTAGTAAATCTTTCACTCAGAAACAGTCATCATATTTTCTCTTTTCCTTAATAATTTGGTATGTTGGGCCATCGTTTTTGTTGTTACCTGTGGTTCTGTCTACTTGAGCTTACACAGGGGCAAGGTCGATCTTTTCTGTTTAGATTTATTCTTTCCATAATCCATATCCTATAATTGATGTATGTCAAAAAATAAGCAGGGTGGTAGGAATACTGGGTGAACTAAAGAAGCTTATCTCAGTCAGTGCCAAATTAATTCACACCCGGGGCCAAACCACCCCCCAAACGGATCATAAAATGTCTAAATTTTGATTAATTTACAATAACTTTGTTAGCTCTATCTCTTTCCTTACCAAACTGAAAGTACAAAATATTGAGTCAATCAAACTGGCATATATTTTGACATCACTTTAACTGACGTCATTCATACGTAAATTTTAAACTTTAGACCCTCCCTATCTTTTATATCAATTTTAAAAGAACTATTCAAGGGGAGTTGAAAGCTGAAAAAATTTTTTCGATCAATCTGAGCTGAGATGTGACATTTTGAATTTGGACAAGAGAGGATAAAGGATGCCTCGAAGATTGACCTGCCTGGTTACTAGATATGTATTTTCCTTAGATTTTAGGTGCACTTAAAATTAGTTATTTAGTTTTAGAAGATATGTCCTCGGTTAAAGGCGGAGTGCAGAGCGTGGAAAATGAAGAGCGTGAAACGGAAAAAATAGAAATAATAGTAATAAACCATAAAAAAAATGCGAAGAACCCTGATAAAGTAAACAAAAACGTTGTGTACCTATTCACATATAAGTACCATGAGGCGCGCGCTAAAGCGATTAGACGCCCTAGCAAAGGTTAAGTGTGCATGTAATGTCATATCTGTTTATATTTTCGAATTGGAACACTGGAAATAGTTTTTATCACATCGGTTAGAAATTTTCGGAAGGAAACTGAAGATTACGTGCGGTTTCCCCTCGATAACAACGTACATCAAGGCAATAAAAATACCGTATCATATAACCTGTATAACCACATATATTATTTATACACCCAATAGGATGTGATTGGTGATGAGATAACGTCATGCATGAAAAAGCCATTACGAGAACTAACAAACTATAAACAAGAAAATTATCATGGGAAACGACTGGTGTTCTACTTAGCTACTAATTTCAGTTTTACTGCGAGAAAGAGTCTTCGTATTATTTATTCACAAGATATATCCAGAATATTTGGATAATCATCTTGGTACCGTTACAGCCGAACGTCTACGTACCGCCACTGTATCTGATTGGTGAGTGAAAGTGACTTTTTTCATATCACAAATGCAGCATTTGAATTCTAGCTTAATCATGGGCCATTAACTGTGCTTCGGTTGTAACTAGCTGACGGGGTATGTTTACATTTTCATCGTTTGTTGACTCAAGGCCTTTTTATATCTCATTTTATCCCCATCACGTTGCGTGTTCGGTGTGAAAACTGAAACTCATTTTTCTAGTCGGCAGTGTCAAGATTGATAGTTTATCGATCGTCAACTTACTACAACTATGTCCCACAACGCTTTTTTTAATCGATCAATCGCATCGGGCGGACTGTTTCAGTAGACAGTGGAACCTTAATACTTTTAAAGAACCCTACCACAACTAGGGGGTATTCGTCGGTCCAGTAGTAGAAAAACATTCTGGAGATGGACCAAACCTTAGTATAGCGAACAAGTAAGTTTTGCCAGTCCCTTGGCATATCTTGGTATATCGAGGTTCCACTGTAGCTCTGTTACATTCAATTTCATCCACAACAGAAATATTTTTATTTAAAATCAGCTTTGCAGTAGTCTTTGGACTTCTCGTTCTTTGTTCTTTATGTTTTGGCTGATTTGATCTCTTTTCTAGAGATCCAACGTTTACAACTAGCAGGATCTTCGTCCACGGTTTTTGCAGTTAATTTAATTTAACCCTTCACAATTTTAGCGACTAAACAATTTTATAGTAAATGCTCAGGTGTTTTGATACCACAAACTATAAAACCGGAAAAACGCGCAGCTAACAGCAAAGCCTCAGTAAACTGTAAACACATTTAAATCTATGCTTACTCTGTTAACCTCGCTGCGTTTTTCACAAACACGCGAACTCTAAAGTTCAAAGAGTTTATTGTCACGCAATCAAAGAGGTCGAAACTACATTGACAATAAAACTCCAACGCCGTAGCGCGGGAGGGTATTAGGGTAAACGAAAGCTGTAGACCTTGAGATAAGAGCGAATAACTGACTTATCGTGACAAACCTAGCGCTAAATCAAAGATAGTTATCACGCATCAATTATCCATCATCACCCGGGTAATGATGTAACCAAACACGCGAACTCTAAAGTTCAAAAGGCGCCTTCACAATTGCGTTTTTCTCGAACTCGGATAACGCGAATTACTTGCTATTTAAAAGTCGAACTAAATTTCGTTTCCCTTGATCAAAATTTCACTGAAAATTATCCCGATAACTCGAATTCTGGTTCTTGTAACTCGGATGCCATTGGGCTATTGCATTTAATATCCCCACCCCTCACCCCCGGTTGAACCATAGAATTCTCCAGGTGTAAGTTATAACAATGAGGATTTCTTTAGGAGTAGAGTGAAAAAATGTGGCATTCTTTGAGGGTGAAGCTTTAATGTTCACGAAATTCTTCAGGGGTACTGACCCATATTCTTCAAGGGTAAGCCCATACTTTATGGAAGTCTTCAGGGGTAAATGCAATTTTAGCCTATCTGCAGAGTACGTCCTCAACCGAGGGGTGGGGGGGGAAGGTACGGATATTAAATGCAATATTAAACCCATTCCGTTAGTTCGGCTCTTTTTTGCATAATTGGTAAAAACGCTCTGAACTAACACTAAAGCAACTGATTTTATTTTGATATTAATTAGTGCAAAGAACAGATCACGTAGATCTTGTTTTACAGTAGAACCTCGATATAACGCAGGGCAAAGGGACCTGCAAAGTTAGTTCGTTATTTAAGAATTTGTTCATACTTAGCGTGCATATATCGAGTTATGGATGCACGCGGTAAGTTTGGAGAGTACGACAGGTGCGTAAGAGTAGCCCGAGGCGCAGCCGAGAGCAACTCTAGCTTCTTGAGTGCTCTCCAAACTTCTCAAGTGCATCCATAACTCGATATACGCACAGCTTAAAGCATGAGCAAATTCTTTTATGATAGCTGACAAAAATGCTTGCTTTCTGATTAACTGCAAAATTATCGTAACCCGTGACACAAGATAAATGCTTCTACTGGCTGATTACAAACACTCTCCACAATCGTCTAGTTTGAATGAAAATTTTTTTTGTAAAACTGAGAAAGAAAATTGCTTGATCAATGGAAACTGAGCAAAACTAAAGGTAAAAGGGTCTTTAAGTTTGCCTAAAGTTAAAATACTCACATGTCGCAAGAAGTCGTAGAGTATGATTTAGATTTGCTGAAAACTTAAAACTTAAAACAGCACTAGTAGTACCGTTTTAAGCATTTTAATGTGCGATTCTTTGTTTCATTTAACGTCCTCCTTTGTAATAGCGCTGGGATTCCAATCAAGACTTCACGCTGCGACGACTGCACGAGTTTAAAATTTTAGTATTGAAGTAAAATTATTGACATTAAAATTAACAGAGCGCTGTAAAGTTATATGTTATGAATAGTTTTATAAATGTGAAAGGATGTTTTTCAAATAATATCAACAGAAATTTGATTCAATAACCAAAAAACGTTGACTCACGTCGATAGCTCCCAATTTCGCTATGAAATTCTGACTTGATAAGCAATGAGGAAATGTATGCATAAGATCAAGAATATGCCTTTTAAACCCTTTTCAATTTTTCTCCGTCCTTGACAGATGAGCCAATCTACTTTCTTTCTCAGTAAAATCCTCTGTGTAGTTATATTCTGATAGGAAAGTGCGTGGGTATCAAAAGCTCGGGAATGGCCCCGGGGTTGGTAAATGCCCGGCCCCCGGGTACCACAAAATTTGCAAATGCCCCGCAGTAGCCCGGGGTGGGGGGTGGGCGCAGCTGGAATTGACTGATGCATTGTGCGCTGATGTTCTGAAAAATCAGTACCTACAAGTATTAAAATTTATTCGATCCCGATAACTCGAAACCCACAAACTGTTTCCCTTCAGATCCCGCGGGCTTTCTTGGTCTTTAGCGGGATCGAATCTTCTTTTTATTTCTTACTTTCACCGGTTTTGTCCTCAAACATCACAGGTGTTGATAAGGCTTATAATGTTTATAAGATCAATACAGGAGTTATCGCTTGCATTTTTTATTTTGATATTTAATTTAAGCTCTGCATTATCGGAATGTTCTCTTAACTGTTTTTCTTTTGTCATTAGGAACACAGTGAACTTCGGAAATCACTGCCAGTCTTCGGTTATCGCCGACAGACCTCGAAAAGGATCGGGAATCATTTTCAATTTTTGGGTAATCACCAGTGGCCAAAAATGTCCATAAATACCATGGCTACAACGAATAACTCCGCTTCGAACACAACTTACCTGCCCACAAGCGCAGGATCATTACCTACGGAGCCGAATCTTCTTGGAACTCCAGTTTCCTACATCAGCGCCTCGCTAGTATGTCTTCTAATCATCTGCGCATTAATTGCCAACATTTTCGTTTGTTTAGCAGTCTACAAACAGCATTCTGCAAGGCGCATAACTCGATTCTTCATCGTAAACCTTTGTATAGCTGATATTTTCATTACAGTAATAAGCATGCCTGTGTGGTTGATTTTTATGTTGTATGCCCGCGCGTCAGCGATTTACTTTCTAGGGGAAACTTTTGTGTCGATTTGGACTCACTTAGATATTTTATGCGGGACAGCCTCGATTCTGAGTTTGACATCTATCAGTGTGGATCGATATATCGCGGTGTCCAGGCCGTATGCATACATAGACTTTATGACAACAAAAAGGGCGTTGCAAGTCATTGGAGGAATATGGCTCTACTCTTTGACAGTTGCTTTGTTACGCAAACCACTAAGAGAGTACAAAGAAGAAGGTAGGAGAATATTGAACGAATTAGACCCATGCTTTCTCATAACTGAACAAGCCTGGTGAAAAAGTGCTTTATTTCAGTTTAGATCATTATAAGTGCTATACACATCCAATTGGGTTAGACATTTTACAAAAAAGAAAGAAATAGGTCATTTCCCAGTTCCGAAAACTCTTACTTTCGAAACGAAACTAGTGCAAAACCTTTCTTGTGAAGTGAGTTTTATTTGTATGAGGATAAAGATCATCTTCGCACTTAGCCTCGCTTTGAAACAGAGGCTTGGGGCATCACGGAATGGCCTATCAAAAAGGATTCTGGTGCATTGTTGAGTTGCAGTAGAACCTCGACAACTCGAACTCCCCGCTAACTCGAACTAAGTCCTATTTTCCGTGGATTTCACCCCACTTTTCGGTCAGTTTTACTCGGTTAACTCGAACTCGGATAACTCGAATTCCCCGCTAACTGGAACTGAATTCATTTTCCCTTGATGAAATTTCCGGACTGAAATTTACCCCATAACTGGTTCTTGTAACTTCTCTCAGATGCCAGATGCCACCCTCTACTCTTCTTGTTGTATAAAACATTAAAACCAACCATACAGCAACGAAAAGATCACATTTTGTCATAAAAATGCATAATCCTGTTACCGTTTTGAATGAAATAAGTAAATTTGCACCGTACTATTCATTCAATTGCTGGAAAATCAGAAACTATCAATCTTTAATATGGAAAACTGAATATTCAATCGACAGCGATAACTCGAAACCTCGCTAACTCGAACTGTCGGTTTTCGTTCCCCTTCAAGGTTCGAGTTACCGGGGTTCTACTGTATAATTATAAGCATTTATTAATAAAAGAAAACGTTTGACAAGTGCAGCTCTTGCACTTCATTCATGTTCATAATAATTTCCCCTCCTTATGTCAACATCGTACTAGATGCATTTTCTGTAATTCAATATCGCTCTAGCCTGAGAAAACAGCCGATATCTCGCGATACCACCACTGGTTTCCCCGCGAAATGACGTCTGGGAAACGAGCACAGAAACTCCATACTTAGTCTGATGACGTGTCACTACCCAGACCTGGGCACTGCTTCTGATTGGTCGTGCCGCTTGTGAAATTTGCTTCAACCAATCAGAAGCATTACCCAGATCTGGGTAGTGACGCGTCGTCAGTATGGAATTTCTGCGCTCGTTTCTCAGATGTCATTTCGGGGAGAAAGCGTTCGTGGCATCGCAAAATATCGTCATTTTTCTCAGGCTGATATCACACCATTCGAAATTATAGTGCACTGATTTCCCACAAAGAACGGCTTCCTTTTATCTTAGATTCAAAATAAGTTGCTAGTTGACTCTCTCTTTTCCTCCTGCGTCTGAAACTCTCTTAAGCCCAGTTTATATGGAGAAAGAAAACTAGTCACGAGTAAAAGGATTACTCCGCTACTGCAAAGGTGTCAACTTCTTTTCTAATATGAACGCCCGCTAAAGTTTACTCGGCTGACAGGGTTCCACGGAACAAGTTTTCTCCATATAAACGAGACCTTAGGCTAACCGATAGTAGGGGCGTTATATGCATCTTCATGCAGTTTCATTGTTTATACTGTTTATTAATGTTATTTAGTCGCCTTTATTTTTAACCTTATCATGTTTTTTTCCTTTCAGGTTACGCGGCTGCTCTGTTTGTTATGATAGCAAGCTTTCTCCTACCGCTTGTTATAATCATCGCAGCTTACGGGAGCATGTTTCGAATCGCCAGGAGACACGCGCGTGACCAAACTCACTTGCAGAGTACTATAAACCAACAGTGCTACAAAACAGTCAAACGCGATCTGAAGGCGGCCAAGACGATCGCGTTCGTCATCGGTACGTTTCTGTGCTGCTGGGCTCCTTTTATTATCGTCAGCTTTCTTTTTGCAGTCGGTTTCGACCCAGATCCAGATGGTGCAAGTGTGTCGAAATGGTTATCGTATCTGAATGCAGTCCTTAATCCCGTCGTGTATACTTGCGTGGACAAGCAGCTGAGAAGACTGGTGTGGAGGCGATTTTTTGTTTGTCTTCATGGAAAGTTCGGGAATCCATCGGTGGAGGAACCGTATACCCGTAAAACATACGCAGAACATTCCTCCCCAATGAATACAATCTAGACAAACAAAAGTCCTAAAACTTTTATCCGAAATTTGGTTTTTGAAAGAATGACGAGAAACAGAAACAGTGCTGTGGAAAAGCAGTTCTTGCTGGATGATCACGTCCGCACTCAGAATCTGGATGAGTCTGAGAAAGAACTTTTTTCTCTAATATTATGCGCCGCTGAGGCCATAACAGTGCTTCAGGTCACTGGAAACGAAGCTTTTCGAGAGCTTTCCCTAGAGCCTTGAGAAATTTAATAACACTCCCTACCATTTGTAGCATGGCCGACCGAAAACAGAGGTATTCGACAATGACGTCCCAAAGCAACTGGCTGCTATACCTTGTACAGCTGAAGGGGTGTTTACATGACACCGGGGCGACTTTCGCTCCGGAGTGAGCTCACTCCGGTTCCCTCTCTTGGCTCTACATTTTTTACATGATACCACCACAAAATGTCATGCCGGCGCTAGTTACCCCGGCGTGAGTTCACCCCGGTTGTTGTACCGGGGCGAGAATTTCACTCCGGTACGAAATCTCGCAACGGTATCATATAAACACGAAACAACCACAAGTTTCGGTGTGAAATCGGTCTGCTGGTAGACTGGAATGGGTAGCGCATGCGTAATGCTTGCGATTTTGAATCTTACGTGTATCTTATCAACATAAAGTGTACCTTCAAATAACGAGATATGAAATGACCCAGTCATAATGTAAACACGATACGAAATAAAAAAGTCATCCCGGTATGAAACTCGCGCCGGTGCGAGTTTTCTCATGTAAACACCCGCTGATGACAGACAGAAAATACAAGTTACGCTACTCAGTCTTTGCGTAGGGGTGCTTGAAAGGAAACGAATTTTACTTAGAAAGTCGAACCTCTTTGAGACTTCTTTACACTTGGCATACTTTCATCATAAATATTGTTTGTCCTACCGTTGGGGCAAATTGTTAAGAAGAAACATTGTTATATTTATGGCAGTTGAGGCTCTTGGTAAAAATCATCTTCTTCCGCGCAAGGAACTCGGACCCGAGATAATAATAAGCCCGCGTGCGCGTCAATGAAGAGGACGCACTATCTCCACACACGCGGTTGCCCTACTTCAGTGCTTTTCATGCGCGTGCTTAGGTGCCTGGAGCTATTTTATCACGTCAATATTTATTTATCGCACATGCCTTAACTGTATCCTATATTTATATATACTGCAGCAAATTTGCACTTATTTTATTACGGAGTTGCCCAGCTTATGGTTACGAATTATCCCTGGCATTTGTTGTGGACATTTTTTAAAGCACAATCAGATGTAAAATTTCCCACAATAGTACATCCGTTAAATTAAACATCAATGAAATATGGAAAGATGGTCATGCATTCATCAGGAGCTCCTGGCATCTATTTGATGATGATGATTCAGTGTAGCTTTAAAATTGTGAGAAAAAAACCAGCTTCGCGTAGAGTGGAGTAGAGACATTAAGGGAGGGTAACATGTTCACATATGATAAATTTAGTTTTTGTGTTTTATATTTTTACTCCCTCATCCACACAGCGCTACAGTTGTTTCTGTTCTACTGAAAATAACCCAGTTATTCATTCATCTGTTAGAAAAGGACCATGCTTAGGATACGAGTGGTTCCTCTGATTTTTCACAGTGATTGTAGAGTGAGCGAGAGCAAGAACGAAAGTCTTGTCTTTTGCTCGCTCTATTATCCCTCAGAGGGACTAATCGCAGTCTACACCAGGCTAGGCTCACACTTGTTGCTTAAGATAGCGAATAAGATAAGATACGCCTGCTCCCTGCCTGTGTAGCAAGGGTTTCCGCGCGAGTTTTGTGCAAAATTAAGCTGGGAGAGAGCAAAAAAGAGGAACGAAACGGACAGTTACAATTAAAACTGATATTTAGACTTGTGGCCTTCTTCGTAAAGTTTGATGACATGTACGTATGTTTCATAAAAGCTCAAGCTTTTAAAAAAAACTAAAACAACAACAACAACAAAAAAAAAAAACAAAAGAAAAAACCATCCAACAAACAAACAAACAACAACAACAAAAAACCGCGCTTTCTTGTGTGTCATTCAGACATGATTGCGTGACAGACTCGTTACTCGTGAGTGTCCCCAGTAGCTTTTTCCAAATGCAGGTTTTAGCTCTGATTTGAATGCAAAATGGTAAGCGATACACCGAGGGTGGCTGTTATATAACAGCGACGGGGATGGGGCGGCCGAAATTTAGAGTTAACCCCCTAAAAGAAACTAATCTAGGCGTGGCCTTCTTGTGCCCCCCCCCCCCGCCAAAGGGGAAAACACTACAAAAGTATGACGGCGTTTTTTCAACAGTGACACTGTTCTTTACGCTCAATCCCAAGGAAGGATGACAAACTCATCCTCTCTTGCCCTTTTGATACCCTGAGTGAGACCAAAATCCCAGATTCCTCTCCTAAGAACGAAGGCGAACATCCCCTTCTTCCCCTTGGAGCGAAATTCGGTATTGGACGGAGTTGGGATTCGCAATCGGCAGTAACCAGACGAGGTGAGAGCTTTGGGCAGTCTCAAAACTTTTATGGCACGGCTAAAAACTCATTATTTTAAATTAGCTTTTAGCTTATAACCTATAGTATTTTAACATAGATTTTTGCATGCATATATATATGATATTTTTATCTAGTATCCATTTATTAACTATTTAGAAGAGCTGTAATTTTTTATCCATTTCATCGTAGTATTATAATCATTGTAATGTAAAGCGCATTAGATCATATACCCATGTATTTTGCGCTATACAAATTATAAAGTCATGTTATGTTATGTTTTAACCTGCGATCGGACGTTTTTTTTTTCGGAGATGCTCAAAATTTGATGGATAGGCAAAGGGAAAAGTCTTGCCTGATCGCAGGTTACGATCTGCATAAAAAGTAGCCTCTTCCAGGCGTTCAGATATGATAGCACAGTGAAAGAGCGGGAAAGCTGTTTTTCCTGCTCAGTCTGCTCAAATGCTCAAAGAGTCCTCAAAAGTGTGAACTTTTACGTAAAAATTGGGTTTGAAAGTAAACTGGAAATCTTGGCAAATTAACGTACGCTCTACAGAAGATACAAAATGGAACTCGCTTACCAGTAAAACCAGTTAATAATGTGTGTATTTTGTCGACACATATACTGTACTAGACACGTTTTTGTTATTACACGGAAATCATTTTCTTTTGTGATTTTAATTTTCTCCATCTGTATTAAATTTTGCGAGGATTTGTTCATTAAGTATCAATTAAGTTCTTTGTTTTTCTCGTTTACTTCCGGCCTTTAACCTTCTGGCAGACTTTTTGTTTCTTTGCTTTTTTTAGTAAAAACAAAGAAAACAACGGTTTTCTGATTGTTCATTTTGGTCGTTTTGAACGTTTTCTTGTTTCAGGTTTTTCTTCGTTACCGTTTTAACGCTCCGTAGTAGGGTACGTCATCATGGGGATTTTTCCCGGAACTGAAAAACTGCTGTCACGCAACTTCGTCTTTGTACCAAATTCAAAATGGCGGTCACCTAAAAGGTGTTCCTTTTTTGTGTCGTTACCCGCAACTAAGATCTTGATAGACGAGAAATAAGAAAATGGAAGTCGGTTCGCGTGTAGTCCGTGGTCCGGACTGGATGTGGGGAGACCAGGATGGAGGAGAAGGAAATGTTGGAACCGTGGTACAACATGGACAAGATAGAAACCTTCCCGATGGAACTGTTTTAGTTCATTGGGATTCTGGAAGACAAGCTAATTACCGCGCTGGACATTCGGGAAAGTTTGATCTTCGGATTTTGGACTGTGCTCAAGCAGGCAAGTAAATTATTCACTTTCGATTTGGCCACAAATTTTTCCCTTAAGAACAAGAGTGTTCCAATCTGTTTCACGCCACTTTCAATTTTAACACGCGATGACGAGGTTAAGACTATAAATGTTTACGTTCTTTATCACTGAATCTTTTACCCTCACTCTGTTTGTGCCAATTTGGATTTTATTATTTCTTCCTAACAACGTAACGATAAAAAAACTAACTAAAGACTGCAAAACTCAAAGATTTTGGATTCTAAATAGAATTTGCATATTGACGAAGCTACAATCGTGAAGCTGGTTGAAACGGGTTGATGAACATAGTCAAGTAGCTATAACTATTTTCTTAGTTGTAATGTAAGGTTCTCGCTGCCCTTGTGAGCTCAGAATTAGTACTAATGATGAATTAGTACCAGTACTAGTATCCCATTGTAAATTAATTCAACAATGAGTTTCTCCGTTCGAAGTCAAGTTCATGTTGCGTATGTGTTTTTGAAGTCATGTAAACCATGCAGTTTGTTGATCGTTTTTATCAAAGAGTTTATAAGGAATTGCCTGAGCTTAGTAATACCTTTTCGATATGCAATTATATTACAAGACGCTTGCAGAGGTTATGGCTGAAGACACAAAATACAGTACTTTACTACTGTCAAGATATTCCTGAGTAAGGGTCTTTTTGCCTTTGCGGGCACAACAACATGCAAGGCGGAAGTACACATCCGGGATTCAGCGACTCGGTGATGTTTATAGTAATAAGTAAAAAATTCAGGGATCAACAAGAATACGCATTTTTCTTATGATATATTTCTTACCCATATAAATTTGCAATTTTTTTTCTGAAGCATTTTCTCTTTTTGGCTTTTCCTCATATTATTTGACCCTTAATTTTGTGATTAATGGGACTTGTGTAGGACAGATTGATTACATTATTTTCACAATTTATGTGGTATTTTATGAAAGAGTAAGATAAAAGTAAGACTGTGTATAAGGCACACATGTGCCCCATGCCTAGGAAGTAACTATTCTGAAATGCCCTCTCGATGCTGCCGTAGGTGTGAAGCACACTTTTGTCACATGTGATGGCTGTAAGCAGTCTCCTCTCGCTGGAACAAGGTGGAAATGTGCAGACTGTCCAAACTATGATCTCTGTTCACCATGCTTCATGAATGACGTTCATAACATGCATCATTCATTCCTACGTTTTGACATTTCGGGTGGAGATGGGTAAGTATAACGTACCTTATGGGTTTAATTTAGTCTCTTCTTTTCCCTCACTTTTGCCGGAAGGTTTATTCTTGTTCCTTTAACACTTAAAAGGAACTGATGCAGCGTACAACTACATGTAACAGTTTTTATCTACGAGTACAAGGAAAGGGTATTCATCATCATTATCATATCCTTTATTTAAACACAATTGGATTTAAATTTAATAATCAATGCCTGTATGGTCATGTAGAAATAATTACAATATAGTCAACTATGATAATAATAATAATAAGGATAAAATTACTTACAACATACAACTACAATTACAGTATGACTGGGAAAACCGTGAACACTTGAAATATCCCTGGAATGTTTATTGTGTTGTGACCAATCACGGCAAAGATCAGGACATGCGAACTAGCCACAAAACCACAAACTTATTAATGTTCTTGATTGTGGTTCAGTTTTCTTACAACACACTAACTTTCCAGAAATATTTTGGTGTTCATAGTTTTCCCGGTTTGACTGTAAAACTATAAAAAGTTACAATAAGATTCTTAAAAGACAATATGTAAAAAATTAAAATGAAGAGTGTTGCTATATAATGCATATTAATATGAAATAAGTTTAGCACTTCAATAATTGATCATAATTATGATGACTTGTTATCAGGGAGGTACAGTCTAAGCACTAAAAATATAGATATGGATCGGCTCACCAAATACTGAGACTGATACATGATCCTAAAGCTTATGGCCTTTTACAGTGCATGTGCTGTATTGACCACTTTGATGTTACACTTGAGACTCAGTCAGCGTTGGTGTTATGCTGAATTGTCCTACATGGACAGTTTTGTGAGACGAATTTAATGATACAGTTAACACCCTCCGAAAAAATCAAGTGGATTAGCCCTTTCACTGCCAGAGCTAGTGAATGATTGAGTCTTGTGAGGTGGTTCTCAACTTTTGAGTCTGTTGATGAAATCCTATGGTGTTACCATTCAAATGAAGCCTCTTGAGCAGTACTTTCACATAGTACTATTTATTTAGTATGTAGTACTAACTTTTGAGTCTGTGGATGAAATCCTATGGTGTTACCATTCAAATGAAACCTCTTCAGCAGTATTTTCACATGGTACTATTGATTTAGTATGTAGCTCTATCTTATGAGCCTGTGGGCGAAATGAGGTGGTGTGATCATTCAAATGAAAACCTCTTGGGCAGTACTTTCACAAGATGCTATTTGCATTTTAAAATGACTTTGGTCTCTTTTGAGAGTCGGTGAAAGGGCTAACAAACTCAGGCTGAAATTTGATGAATTAAGCACCATACAAATAAGAACCAGTTCAGAGAGTGCTCTGGCTGGATGTGATGATTCTGCTTTACTAACAAAATTTGCTCGCTCTTTCATTTACCCCTTTTTAATAGTTCCATGACTGTTTTTGATTTTTTGGCGATTTTTATAGTCATGAGGATTTTTCCAGAGGTATGCGCAGGTTTTCAAATCGACCCTAAGCCCCATCCCCCAAATCATTTCCACGTTGGTGAATGATTCAATTTCCGTTTCTCATCAGTGTGTAGGTTATCACTGCCGATGTGGGGATTTAAGTAGATATTATCTTCTTCTTAGAATCCCTGTTGGAAAACGCTCGAACTTCACCAAGCAACAATCAAGAGGCCTTTTTCCGGGTGCCCGAGTAACGCGTGGGCGAGATTGGAAATGGGGAGACCAAGATGGTGGAGGCAGTCATGTTGGACAATTAACAGAAATAACCTCTTGGAATGGAGTGGAGAGGGCAGGTGCCAATGTTATGTGGAGTCTGCTTAGCAGGAACACCTACAGAACAGGTCACATGGGAGAGGTACGTTTTGGTAAATTAATGCCTTCGACTGGGTCTGGAAACGGTGATCCTGATTCTGCATTCCGGAACCTTTTGGTTTTATTTATTTATTTACCATTTAGGTCTGTCGCTCGACACTCAGCATTTTAGAACGCTCTAAAAAGGAAAAACAAATGTGTCTGAAATGGCGTTTTTAAACGCAAAAGTAATGATTAGAAGTGTTGATAAATGTTTGAAATTGCATTTTCAAAAGCAGCGATTGAATTGGATAATGCTGTTTCCCTTGGGAGTTGATTCCATTTTGTAATTGTCCTTGGGTAGAAAGAATACTAGTGGTAATCCCTAATGGTTTTCGGCTTTTTCACGAGAATTCTGAATCCCAAACTTCTTTGGTCGCTATCCCAAATGTCATTTTCTTTCCTTATTCGCAGCCTTGCCTAAATTTTGCGGAATCTCGCTTTGCGGGCAGCAGTCAAATCCTGTATCCCGTCAGCGTTTTCCTGAAAACCGCACTGTCTTTTGGTTAAATCCCGTATCCCGTCAGCGATTCCCGACTCCCGCACTGTATTTTGGTCAAATCCCGCATCCCGTCAACGTTTTCCCGAATCCCGCTCTGTCTTTTGGTCAAATCCCGGATTCCGGGATATCCTTTGGCGTAATACATCAAACGCGAGTGGTGCATCCCACATCCACATACGGTTTAGGGTCATCTTGCCACCAAACCATCTCGTCACCAACGAAATCGCCACCAAGAAGTCTACTCGCCACCGCATAATAACTCTGTAATAATTGACACTTTACTCACCTGGGATTGCAGGGGCCGATCTAGGGGGAGGGTGCAGGGGGTTTGCACCCCCACTCCCCCCTAAGATGACAGAATGCGAAATGCTATTTTCAGCACTTGTCATGAGACATGGCTCCGAAAAATCGACCTCGAATATGAAAATGGCAAACAATTGCAAGTCACTATTATCAAAATAACTGAGTCTAAAGAAAACAAATCCATCCGAAGACTTGATGTGTCTAGCTACACAGGTCGGGGGGCGGGGGAGAAGGGGAGGCAGCTGCCTTCCTTGCTCCCCTGCTAGCTACGGCTCTGCAAAGGATTTCTTATCTGATTAGTTTGCGCAAAATTTTGAGACCCGATTTCGTATTCTCAGGTACTCTCCGGCTCTTCACAGTACACGTAGTGATTTCCTATGTTTCAGTCTTAAAGCGTCTTTTGTAAGTTTGAGAAATAATGATAAGCTGCTCTGTTGACATCTACACTGAATGCTCTCCGCAGAAGCGCGGTATTTTTGTTAAGTATTTTTTTTGAGTATCCCCCTCGAGCCACTCTTTAACATTTAGCGGAAACTTTCCGGCTGATTTGGAAGGTTGGTACTTGGACATACTTTAGAAACATTTCGTTATATACGTTTTCTTAAATGTTTGCTGTGTTTGTTATTTTCTAAGGTGGACCTTAAATGCTCATCCCCTGCGATTGGGCCGCCATACTATCGTGAATGTTTGGCGAAACTCGGAGAAAATAGACGGCGACTCGATTCAAGTCGATTGCGTGTCGGAGATCGGGTATCTGTGTGTCTGGATGCTGAGGTGTTGAGAGCGATGTCTGCTGGTCATGGTGGCTGGGTTGATGACATGGCTAAAGTAAGAATCACGATTTAGTTGAGAAAACAGGTAGCCTCCCTCGCAGGTGTTTTTAGTGAGTGGAGCTCTCCTAAAAACGCCTGCGTGGGAGGCTAGAAAACAGGGGGATCAGAAAACTGTACCGTGAATGTTACTTTGTGAACTGTAATAGGGTTAAAATTGAAATACTTGAATGTAGGTTTTTACATCTTGTCCGGCCTTGATCTACGTCCACACGGCAATAGACGATAATTATCGACTGGTTTAAAATTTGTGCGTTTAGGGGTTCCGTTCACACGGACAAAAATTTATACGCTTAGCCGTTCAACCTTGCTCGTTAGGTCCGTGTGAACAGAGTGAAAATATCGAACGATTCCGTGTGAGCGATGTGTCCGCTCAAATTTTTCAGCGGCCGGTTGAAAACGCGTCCTTAGTCGTGTGAAGTTAGCTTTGCGGTCTGATAGTGAACCTGGAACACGAAAATAGCAGTATAACTCGAATTTTTGAGTCTAGGTACAAAATCTTAAATTTTGACCAAAGAAATGAAAGCTACTGAGCAGTACTTTCCGCCGGTACTGTTTATTATGCTGTACAAGGTGGTTCTAACTTTTGAGTCTGAATTATCTCCTAACGCGTGACCATTCAAACGAACTGAGCTACCGAGAAGTACTTACCTGTGGCACTGTTAATTGAAATGTGATATATACTAAATGCTTCTAACTATTGATTCTGTGGTTCATGCTGTACATAGGAAAACGTTTTAACCAGCTTTCTCATCTTTGTAGTGCATAGGCAAAGTTGGCAAAATATCTAAAATTGACGCTGATGGTGATGTTCACGTTAGCTATGGACTACAAAGTTGGGTTTTCCATCCACAAGCCGTAACTAAGGTATGTATCGAATGTCCGTTATCTCGCCTATTGCCGTGGTGCTTGTCTTGCTCTCACTTGAGTGCAGACTTTCTCTTGCTAAGGATCAAAAGGACGCTCGATTTCCTCCGTCTTCCTGGTCTGGTCTTTGATCCTCTCCCGATCCCTTTGGTTGAATAACGACCACATCTTGACCTCTAACTGGCTTTTCCAGTACCTGTCGCTGTAAATCTTAAAAAGTTTAGAGTTTAAAGGATTCTAAAACTCGATCGAAAGCCAACTGGGGGGACCTCTCTTTTCTGATATGATAAAATTATGCGAAAATCGTTGCCAGACGAAACTCTGCAGGCGGTACCTATGTACCTGATTGGCTGAAACCCGTAAAGGAAATCATACTCTTCCAGCCGCTCCTTCTGGAGGATGAGCGCGGGCTCATTTTCCTGAACAGCGGCTGGTAATCGAGCCCAAATCAAGAGGTTGTTAAGCAATTGAACGCCAGTGTGATTAGTACGTCTATTGTGCGAATACGCTTTTGGTATTTCGACTCCACAGGTGGCCAGTTTTCAGGCAGGAGATAAAGTCCGAATTTTAAGCGACAAACAACTTGTACAAAATCTACAACAGGGCCATGGTGGTTGGAATGAGAAAATGACGACGGTGAGTCTTGGGTCTTACGGCGGCTATGATACATAACTCTTTCTTTGTTACTCAATTATGTCAAGGCAAGGCTCTTCCGTCAACCTTGCAGCCTAATACGCAAAACGTGCAAATAATAGAACCGAAAGTTAACTTTAAAGTTAGGCCCGCGGAAGAACCTTATATGACATCCGAAACAAATCTACCGTTGGTAGACCGACTGAGCTACGTGGCCAGACGGGATCATGTCGTGGGTGATTGAGATGGTAAGTCTCGCCCAAGAACAAGAGTGAAGGTTTAGGATACATTAAAATATTGTGCCGCAGAGCAACATACCAAACGAGTAGTTAGTTTGTGTGCTCTTGGAGGTAGAGTTTTCAGTTTTGTCGAGGGTATTTGTCATTTGTCTCCGATCACCTTAAGTCACACGACATTGGCACTTGTTGTGTCTTAAGTAAACGTACCTTACAGGACAGCAGATAAAAAGCGGAAAAGGCAGCTTAAACCTCTAATGTAAATCACGCATCGGTAACATGTTGCTTTTTCTAACATCTTTTGTTTACGCTGAGAAAGGATATCAGAATTGTACTTTATTTTTTAGTTTCAAGTTCTGAATTGTAGACCTTTTCCCACAAAAAATATATGGCACATGGGTGCTCGTCTTTAAAATAACAATCAGAACCGTATGCTGACTAAGTTTCGTAACTTACTAGGCTTTAGGAAAAGAGGGAAGGATCTTAGAAGTGGATTCTGATGGTGATGCTGTGGTTTTGGTTGATTCGGATTTGTGGTTATTGAACCCAGCTGCATTAGAAGATATGTCGGAAGGCGGTGAAGCTACATCAAGACGAGGCAATACTTCCCCCACTAGTCCAGGTAACTGAGTGACAACTGAACTGTTCTGGTTCAGTTTGTATAAATGCAACTTCAGTCCTTACAGCTAATGTCCCATGTTTAGTACTGGCAGTCTCTTTACTTAACCACTAGAGGACGTTTCATTTTATGTGATTGGCCCCTGTGGTATTTTGGGACCAAATTTTGAACGGGGATTAACAATGTCGTGCAACGCTGACTGGGTGTTATCTCCTGGAATGTTTGCAAACATGCTATCCCCCCTCCATCCTCGGAGACCCAGGGGCAGATAGTGGGGGCGAGGGAATGTCTAAACGGGCGGAAAAATATGGCACGAAGAAAAGTAAAGAACGGCGAGAAGAGCCCCTGGGGACAATGTCTTACCAGACCAGTTCCAAACGGTCGCCGCCGTTCTGCCTTCTGATTGGGCAGAAAAACACAAAAAAGTTTTCTGGCCCCAATCAGATGTCAGAACGGCGGCGACCGTTTGGAACTGGTCTGGCAAGACATTGTCCCCAGGGGCTCTTCTCGCCGTTCTTTACTTTTCTTCGTGCCATATTTTTCCGCCCGTTTAGACATTCCCTCGCCCCCACTATCTGCCCCTGGGTCTCCGAGGATGTCCCCGCTCTACCCTTAACTTGTTTAGGCGAGTTGTACCTTTCCGATATATCAGTCTATGTCAATCTGGAACAATGCGATCACTGTTTATCTTAACCTGGCTGCGTAATTGACTACTCTGAGTGATTACTGTGAACCTCCTTCCACAGTTGACCGAGCAACGGATCTCTTAAGGATGCTTCTTCTTGAAGCTGTTACATCCAAAGGAGGCAGTGTCGATCCGGGAGACAGATTAGTAAATGCTTCATCCAATGGTAACCTTCAGGAGGTCCGTGAAATTCTTGAAGCACATCCTGGCAAGGTATTCTTCTGCGTCTAACAGGGAGCTTAAGCAACGACGACGGCGACGGCAACGAGAACAGCAAAAAAGCAATAGGTTTAGATCGGCAAAACAACAACTAATTTGCCCGTGCATCACGCTTTTTTGTATATTTCTTAACCGCCGTCGCACGACTACAACGTGAAAGTGTCTAAAATGACGTTTTGTCGACCACGGGAACACTGGACAACAAGTTTCTTATTCTTTTCCAGAACTTTGATACAGTCCTTTAGAATTCAACGCCAAAAAAATTTGCCAACATTTGACGAATTAAACAAGATGGAATAAGCGCGATAAAGTTTGAGGCAGCGCGAATTCACTTTTAAAGTGACGTTTTCATCGCCGTCGCCGTCGTCGATGCTTAAAAAATTACTCCACTTCCTTTACAGCGGTTTTCAATCAAAATTGGATCTAGCCAATTAAAGTAGAGTCGGTCATTCATTGAGCCAATCAAAACTCAAAGCAGATTCTTAAAGCCGCTGAATTCGCGGGAAAACGTGTGTACGCAAGTTGCGAACGGCTTGATTCATTTCTGATTGGTCAAGAACACGTAAAAATGCAAAAACAACTCAGTCTCGATATATTTTTTTTCAATAGGTAATAAAAAAGTACCTTTCAGTTACCTACCCTTTAAATTACTAAATGGCACTATTGATTAATCGCGGTTAGCTGGCAGATATTGACAAGAAATGATTAATCAAGCATTTTCATTACATTCTATGTTCTTATTTACTTTTATCCATATTTTGTTCATGTTTTTAGATCGATCATAAAAGAGGAGGCAAGACAGCTCTTCATGTGGCCTGTGATCAGGGTCGGAAAGAAATTGTACAGTACCTTTTAGGTAAAGGTGCTGACAAGGACATCAAGGTTTGTATGTTTCAGTGGTTTTGTTCAATTGTCTACAGTTCTGTGTAAATTCGACCAAGTGGGCCCTTGTTCAGGTTAAATATCTCCGAAAGTTCGCTTAGAGACTGTTGACATTTCGATAATTTTCATTCTTCTTCTCATAATCATTATCGTTGTTATTATTATTATTATTATTATTATCATTATTATTAGAATAGGTAATCACATGATTTCGAGTGCAATTTGGAATAAATAAGCACGAGTAAATTTTTCAAAGACTAACAAAAGTGCACGAGCGCTTAGGGCGAGTGCACTTTGTGGTCTTTAAAAAATTTACAAGTGCTTATTTATTCCAAATTGCACGAGAAAAATCATGTGATTACTTATTAATGATATACACGAAAAACATAACTACAACAACAAATTTTGACAGCGCGCGCGTTTTTAGTTCATTCAACTGATTGGCTGAAACAGACTACTACCTTTGTCAAATTCAAACTTTTTCAAGACCAACGCTTTCAAAATCATTCAGCTAAGAACTTGGAAATGTGCAAGGATTTTTTTATATGATCACCAGCCTGTTAAAGATAACTTGGTTTACAACAATCAGCAAAAGTAAGTGTTTTTAAATTCATCCTCGATTATGAGAGCTCGGCGTTTACAAGAAGCGTTTTCAAGAAGTATACTGCCGTTTTTAAATCAGGAGAACGCTTCGAGCAGCCAAAGATGAAAGACACTTGCTAAGGTTTTTTAACGACTGTTTATCATTGTCTGTTCCTGAGACCCCATCATAGCTGGATTCATGGACAAATTTTTGAGATTTAAAACCCGAAAATGAAGGAGGCAATTTGTTTTCTTTCGACGCTACCATCGATGGGTGAGTGGAGCCACAGTTGTTGTGATGTCGGAAACTGTCAGTATTAATATAATATTTGCTTTTTCTCAGCGCTGGAGTTTTCATTATTTTATTTGGGCTAATGCAAGATTCATCGTAGCTCTTCTTCGTCGGCTTCATCGTAGTCGTTAAGGAAATTTATACCTCTGTGGCCTGTGACACTGAGGATATGTTCTGAACTTACAATCTTTGCTTTCTTCACCTGACTGCATGTTGTTTTTCTTGCACAATGATTCGTAAACTTTTTTCTCACTTTCTTTAACGCTAGTACCAGCTACGGATACTTTTCATTGTGTGAGTTGTCGTATTTTCACCCATTGGTTTAGTTTGGACCAGAAGTCTAAATTTTCAGTTTCGTTTGCTACTGAGGTAGAAAAAAAACAGACCATCACATGGAACGTACATGACTTGAAATCCCTGTTGTTATCATTGAATAATCCTTGTTCATTTAAATGCCTGAAGAGTGTAGCTGTCATGGTTTGCGTGTGGTTGCAACCGTTTTTGTTCTTTATTTTTTTTACTTTAGCGTAGTCTGTTATGAGTAGCTTTTTTTTAGTTTCTCTGGCTCATTTTCCTCGATTTTGTCCACAGTATTTTTCTCTTAGCAACGCATTTTCAATACATTTAGCGAGAAAGACGTACTTTTTACCGTGTTCGGGTTTTTTTTGGAATATTTTTTTTAACTTTTCTATTGTTGTTTTGCTTCCAAAATTTAATCCCGTCGTCGTCTGCTGAAAACCATGGCCATTTTCTTGAATCTGTGTTGTTAAAACAGCTCTAATCTGATTGGTTCTTTTTGGTTTCTTTTGTGTTTTCGGCCAATCAGAAAGCATTTGTAATTTGCACTCGTGTTACAAGTTTGCACTCGTGTTACAGAAGAGCCGCACTCCTTTCTCAGCCAATCAGAATTGAGTAATTTTTTCGTGTATACTATTATTGCTATAAACAGGTCCTGCACTATTTTAGTTATCGTACATTTTTTGTGAATTGTTAGGATGGACAAGATTACTCTGCGTTGCACCATGCCGCTTATGGGTGAGTCAAAAAAAAAGAAACGTTTCCTATGACGCGACGTGCCTACAGTAAGCCTTCGAAAATAAATCGTTACGTGCATTTTAAGTTCTACCGGAGTAATAATTAAGTTTAGGATTATCGCACATACTATAGATCTCAAATTTTTCATGGTTTTCTCTGTCTAAACATGTATGTGTTTCCGATAATAATTTTTTATCTTGCACCTTTTGGTTGGCAAACTTTAAATGTGGTGCTTCTTTTTGCGCTCCCGATCGAGCGCATAAGAAGGCTTTGATGTCAGAAGACTTAGTCATTCAGGGGCAATCTCATCTCCAGCTGGTTGGGAGAAATTGCATTCTTTGAGTCCCCTGAGTATCAGGCCTACCTTAGGGATTAGGGGGAGGGGTATGGGAGTTCCTGTTTTTGTTTCTCTCTTCTTCTACCCCTCCCCCAGAAATGCCTGATACGCAGAATCACCTGATACTCAGGCCAGCTTTCCTAAATTTTTAGGAGAGCGTACCCTATACACCGAATGCAAATATGGCGGACCTCTCGGCCGGCCCGGGTCTAGTTGCGCGAAAGCGAGGCTAGTTAGGCCTCGAGAGTTTTGTTTTGACTGCTCGTCTTAGCGATTGAGTCGATCGATATGGTTTGCATCGAGTTGTTGCATGCCTGAGGGCCACCAAAAAGAAGATTTTCCTCTAGCTGGAATAGCCTTTACTTTCCCGAGATCTTTTCACAAAGAAACTTAAGGATTCATGCGATTCGGCGCGGCGATGGGAAGCACTTTACAGCGAAACTGTGCTCGCTCACTTGCTTTAGATGAGAAGACTCACGAAAGTATTTGAATGAAATAATTTTCAAAAGAGATGGTGCTGTTCCAAGATGTTTGCATGGTCTGTTATTTATCCAACAAAAAGTAAACATTTTCGAGAACGGGAGCATCCGCGGTCGACCGTAAGATCTTTCAGATTTCACGCTGAAAACAGCTGCATTGAAATATAACAACAACAATAACAATCGCCTGTTAATCCTACAAGCGTGGCCTGTGAAACTATGTAAGAACCAGAAGAAAGCGACGTATTTCAAGAACAGTCCTTGAACAAAATGCACTGAAAAAACTAACGGAGGAACCGTTGCCAACTAAGAAAGAAAGAAGAAGAAAAAAGGTTCTGGAAGAAAAAGAGCGTGCAAGTATTCGAGCATTGTATTTGACCTTGCGCGTGATCTATTTTAGCAACTTGTCGAATGGTTTCGAGATAAACTAACAGCGATTTTCCAAAAATTGCTTCCTTTATGGCACTGCTCAAACTCTTGAACACAGGATCGTGAAGACTGTGAAAAAACATTCGCCCTTGTTTGTCGTTGTGTCCCTGAGAGCGCCTAAAGATTGGTAAGTCGCGACGGCGGATTCACTCGTTCTCGAGGATATTTACCTTTCCTTGGTAAGAAAACGGACAAAGCAAACTTGAAGCAGAACCATGAATCTTTCAGTTATTCACCCATTCTAATAGGTTCGTGAGTCTTCTCTTCTTAAGTGAAGCGAGCACACTTTCGTTCTTTTAAAAAATAACTCCGTGATAGTAGAGTGCCTCCATTCGCCGCGCCGAATCGCTTGAATCCATTTCTTTCTTCGTAAAGAACTTTGGCGAAGCGAAGATAATCAACTTTCGTCTCTGCTGGAGTTAAATCTCCTATTTGATGGCTCTTAAGCACGTAACAACTCAAAGGAAACCATATTCATCGACTGAATCGCTAAGACGCGCAGTCAAAACAAAACTATCGAGGCCTCACTAGCCTCGCTTTCGCGCAACTAGACCCGGGCCGACCGAGAGATCCGCCATATTTGCATTCGGTCTATTACACATCCCGTTGAGTTTATTGAGAGCAAGATCGGTAAGACCAATTGGAATTGGGACACTTTTGTAAAGATGTCTTTCTTTTTTTCATAGTGATCGCAGTGGAGAAACAGTGACTGTGATGTTAAACACAGGTACAAATGTAAATGTCTCCGATAACAAGAACAAAAGCACACCGCTTCACTTAGCTGTCAATCAAGGTAATGACGCTGGGGTGAGGTCACTGCTGGCGTCAAGGCATTGCGACGTTAACTGTCAGGTGAAGATTGTTTTTGCTAATAAGAAGCTTTCAGCCGGGGAAAATTCCCCTGGGAATTCTTAGTGTGGGTTTGCCGCCCGGTCTTCCAAATCCTGACCCTATTTCAGACCAAAAAAATGTCATTTTCCACACAGTTCTTAGACCAGGCCTTAGTTGTTCAAAAGCTGGATAACACTTATTCACTGTTTGTCCAATGGATAGCGCAATTGGTTTCTGTAATACTTTTCCGCTGGATAGTGATTTATCCGGTGAATATTGCTATCCATCTTTTGAACAAACGGGGCCTGGTTTCTGAAGCTTTTACTTGGTTTTGCAAGCAAGTGAAGTCACGATAAGAAAATCAGGAAAATATTTCTTAAAATACATTTCGAATTCTCTTATTAGTTCGTACACTCCCGTAGTTCCTTTCAAAACCATACCCTATAAAAGACAGAAATGGACCAAGTCTATAAGCCTTTTTCAGACCGAAACGGAGCAAAAACTCTACCCTTTAGGGCAGCACATACCTCCATGGCTTATATAAGGGAGTACCCCCAGGGGGGGCTTCAGATACACCGTTTCTGGTGCACGGGTACGTTTAAAGGTAAGGGAACGGCTGAGCGTCTGGGTACGACGAGTGTAGTTCGTTTTATACAAATAGAAGGCAAACGTATAACTTTTCCCTTACCTGGCAAAGGAGGGACGGGGAAGGGGAGGGGGGCAGATAGAAAGGATCTCCCTTTGCTGTCTCTCCTTTTCGCTTCTCTAAACTTGTCTCTTCCTCCTCATATTCCCTTGATAATCAGGCTATGGCTAACGAAGGGTAGAGGTCACTAGAACTGCGGAATCATCTGTACACTTAATTCTTCATCTCGCAATTCTTATATATGATAGTCACATAATTTTCAAGTATGAATATAGAGTCCCTCTGAACTTAAAATCATTTTGTTCAAAACGTGACTCTAATTGTGAATGTTTTAAGCCCACTTATTATTCCACTATTATGTCATTTTACCAAATAAGGTTAAGAGAACAACCAAAATACGAGGCCGTAATACACTGTAGTGTCCTGGTTTAACCGGTTTACAACAGGGCGAATACCGGCGGATGCAAAAGAAGAAGAAGAAGAAGAACCTTTATTAATTTATACCGCTCAGGGTAGCCCCTTCAGACACAAAAAGCTGTCTGTTATCAATGGGAGCCCTGAGCAACAACGCACAAAAACCACACTAAACATATAAACATTACACTAATACAGGTAATAATTTGATAATTTGGCTGACAGAATCAGGATGTTTTGGATACTCTTATTAGAAAATAGAAGCCAAAATACCATTTTTCTTTTGCAGTAAAATAATTAACCTCTCATTCAATGGTTTGGCATATAATACGCGCAAAGATTTTGCTCATTATTAATATCATTCTCACAGACGGAATCAGGATGTTTCTGAATACTCTTACCAAAAAATAGAAGCCAATTGCAAAATAACAATTTTTTGTAGTGGAATAATAAACCTCTTATTCGATGACTTAGCATATAATACGAGCGGACATTTTGCTCATTGCTCGTATTTTTCCAACAACGCAACTCGCAAAATATCTGCGCGTATTATATGCTAAACCATCGAATAAGGTATATTTATTATTCCAGTATATGTCATTTTACCATTTAAGGTCAAGAGAACAACCAAAATACGAGGCCGTAATACACTGTAGTGTCCTGGATTAACTGGCTTACAACAGGGCGAATACCGGCGGATGCAAAAGGAGCCACCATGGCTGACAGAATCAGGATGTTTTGGATACTCTTATTAGAAAATAGAAGCCAAAATACCATTTTTCTTTTGCAGTAAAATAATTAACCTCTCATTCAATGGTTTGGTATATAACACGAGCGAACATTTTGCTAATTGTTAACGTCATTGTCACAGACAGAATCAGGATGTCTCTGAATACTCTTACCAAAAAATAGAACCCAATTGCCAGATAATTTTTTTTGTAGTGGAATAATAAACCTCTTATTCGATGGTTTAGCATATAATACGAGCGGACATTTTTCTCATTGCTCGTAATACTACGCAACTCGCAAAATATCCACACGTATTATATGCTAAACCATCGAATCAGGTGTATATATACCCTGGGTGCCAGAGACTTTTTTTGTGCGATTTTCCGTGTCTGTCAAGTCTTCATACTGTCCCGCTGGTTTTTCTCACGGCTTCTCCGCTCGTGGCTTTTGCCTTCGGGCAACACCGAAAAAAAAAGAGAAAAAAACCGCTAGTACGTACCCAGAGTAAGCCCGCATAGCACTAATTAATTTGAATTTAAGGAATTTTCTTGAAATCGTTCTTTCCAGGATTTAGCCGGGGATACGCCGCTGCACGATGCGATCTCCAAAGAAAAGAACGCAATCGTGAATCTTATCCTTCGCTCGGAGCGCCTTGAGATTTCTGTGTTCAATGGCAGGGGTTTTAACCCTCTTCATCAAGCCTGCATGAAAGGAAACTTACAGTAAGTAATATTGAGGGACTCTGTCGGTCAATAGTAAGTTGGAGACAATCACCTTCCTCTTTAAACTCGCGTGTTCCTTCAGTTTGTTCGACTGGAGTCGCATACCCCACAAAACTGAAAACCCTACAGTTCTGGGTGTGTATCTCGTTACGAATGTCCAAAGTTGATTCTGCAGATAATTTGTACCTTCAAATTGATATTGTTTTCAGCATTAGTTTTTTCTTAAACGAGAGTTTTTCCTTTCTGAATGCGGTTTTTTACTTTGTCCGGTGGATAATGACAGGTCGGTCATTAATACTTTTATTAAAACGTTTTTAGTTTTTTCCTCGGAAAATGAGGGTCACTTTTACTATTTTACTAATAAGAAACAAATAAAAATTAAGCGATTCTTGAAATTTGAGGAAAATCGTGCAACACTTTCATATATTTTTGGAAAAAGCCATTCGCTCTCCCATCTCGCCCGGCTAACATTTGACTTAAAGGTTATTGGTTCAGATGTACTTATCTTTGCCTTCCTTTGTTATTCTACCCGGTGGACAGCTTAAGACGACTTTTAACTTCAATTATCTCCTTATCGGTTGCAGTGCTGTACAGAAAATCATAGACAAGTATCCTGGTCTTATTGAGATACCAAAAGAAGATGGATTTACCGCTTTGCATCTAGCCGCGTTCAACAATCATCTTGACATTGCGAGGTGTCTTCTGTTGTCGGTATGTGAGCTAAATATCCTTGAGGAATGCGATACATGCGCCGCCCAGTGATCAGCAATTTTGACCATTTAAAGCATGCCCATGCAGAACTCTTGTTTAAAACACTTTTGATAGGAAGTGCAAAACAATGAGAAAAAGCGAGAACATAACTTGAATTATAGAGAGAAGCCTGACGTAACGTTACCGTGGTAGCAAAATTTCTGGATCTCAACACTCTTTCTTGACAGAGGCGGCCATTTCCATTGTCGAACGATGGAAGAAAAGTATGGGCTACCGTTTTGTGTCTGAGTGCAATCAGTGACACAGGAAGTCATACGTTTCATTTTTTTTTTCTGCCATATTTGCAGGACCAAAAATTTTGCGACCATGGTAACGTTGCATAACGACTTTTCCTCTCTATTGGCCCTCTTGTCAAATTGATGCAAATATGGTGAAAATTGCTGTTATTGTGGAGGCCAACGTAACGTTTCCCGAGAGAAAAAGAAACCACAACCTTATCACAAGGTATCCTGTCCGTACAATAATGGCTGAATTATAACCCGCACGATAATAATTTGAATTTAGTAAATGCCACGTAATGACCTATCAGCCAATCACTGAACTTGCTTTTTAATTCGAGGATTGTCGTTAAGTGTCGAGTTTAAAGTTCACTTACTATTTGCGAAATAAAGATGAACGGCGTTTTACAAAGAATTTCAGTAGGAAAAAATCAATTATAGAGGCGCACGAGACAAGAAATTTGGAGGAGTACGGGTGGGTACCGGCGATGTATTGGTGAGGTAAAGTCCAGACTAACATTCAATGAATCATAAAGGAGGGGTAACAGTAATTAATAATAATTATAATATTAAGTATAAAGAAAGTGTGAGTCTATTATGGTGTGCAGGGGTTGAGGGTTACTGGGTGGATTTCCACTGTCGCGTATTTTTTACGTGCGTTCGCACTTGAATTTTCTGACTTACGTAAACAGTATATGGGCAATGTATGGAAGACCGCGCGTAAACTTAAAAGTTGCGTGAGGTTCAACTTTTACGCGCAACGTTCCATACATTATACTTCATTTACGCTCGTAAATTTTATGCACACACATAAAAATCACGTAACAGTGGAAGGGTGGATTTCCACTGTCGCGTAATTCTTCTGTACGTGCGCGTAAATAAAATAAAGTGAATGTATTGAAGGTCACGTGTATACGTAAAAGTTGATCCTCGTGGCCTTTCATAAATTGCCTCTATTTCTTTTACGCACGTAAATTTTACGTGTAAAATTTAATATTAGGCGACAGTGGAAAATCTCTCAGAGGGAGTAATACTCGGCTCTTTTTACGTGGTTGATAAGTGGCCTCTCACGCAGTTTTGTTTGTAACCCCAGGGCCATTGTGATATCAATTTACGAAACAACAAGAGACAAACAGCCCTGGCGCTAGCTGTGTCAGAAGCTTATACAGCTATGATAGAACTGCTTGTTGAACATGGTGCGGATGTCAATGCTGATGATGAGGATGGTGACACTCCATTACATCTTGCTGTTATTCATCAGGCTGTGGGTACCACTGGCTCGAGAAAGGTGAGTGTACTTGTATGCTTCACATAAAGCTTGGATGACAAAGCCTTCTTCGCAGACTGGTAATTCTTTACCACATTTAGTTCCGTCTCTGGCGGAGGCTAGGATGACATAAAAGGTAAAGCTCATTTTACCCCCACCCCCTCCATCAATGCTCCGTTTTAAGGGTATTTAGAGCTAGTCGAAAAATCCCAATTTTTTTTGTACCAATCTAAAGGAAAAAAAGTATTGTGTGAAAGTATGGAAAAAGGAGGTTTCATTTGTATGGTTACTCTTTAGAATTTCATCCACGGACCCAAAAGTTAGAACCATCGCGTACAGTATGATGAACAGTGCCACAGGACAATACTTCTTAGTAGCTTTCGTTTAAAAGATCACAATTTAGGATTTCATCCACATTCTTCAAAGATAGAATCACCCTGTACAGAGTACTAAACAGCACCACGAGTAATAAACACGAGTAATAAACACTGTATGATTTCATCCACATACCCAAAAGTTAGAACCACCTCGTACAGCTAACATATTAACAGTACCACAGGAAAGAACCGCTCAGTAGCTTTCATTTGAATGGTCACATTTTAGGATTTCATGATCATACAGACTCAAAATTTACCTAAAATTCCTAACCACCTCTTCCAGTTTAGTAAACAGTACCAGAGAGAAGTACTTCTAAATTTCCATTTTTAAACCTAAAAACAGAAAGGCTCTGGATAATGTTGTAAAGTCGCTGTAAGGAAGAAAATTGGCAATGAACCAAGGCAATATGTGTCTGGTTTAAAATGCAGTTTAATTTTTTTTTTTAAATTCTTGTATTGGCATTGAAAGGGTTCCTTTATGGCGCCTATTAAAATTTGTTTCAAGGCATTTTAATTTACGTATGAACGTATCTTCAGTTTAATTAAAAAAGTAAGGTATTCTTTTTCTTTTCTTTTTTTGGCACTGACTACTTCTTAATATCCCGTAAAGTCTCTCGTCTGCTAGGATATGTATGTATATAACGTCATCACGCCATAGTATATTTTAATCAATTGTTACTTCACTTTATGTCCTGTACATGAAATAAGCAAAGGTCGTGCAACCTCCCCGATTAGCCACTCTTGGGTAAAAAATGATGGCTCCTCCAGTATCCAAGATGATACCTTGTATCGTTCCGGGGTCATGGCTCCAGATACCTAGCTGATCTAGACGATACCAGCGAAAATCGACACCGAAAGAAGAAGGAAAACAATTTAGTTTTTTAAAAAATTGTGTTTATTGTCTCGACGAGACTCTATGTTTTAGACGACACCTGAGTGTCGTGTTAAGTTTCTAAGAAAATACTCGGCCTATCGAATATTTTTTCAAAGTCATTAGGGGAGGAGGGGGGGTTCTCTTTCGTGAAGAGAAATATACGGTGCGGTTGCCCGTAAGGGTTACACTTGCTGTGATATTTTTCATATCTCGACTTATACCATTACGGGCAACCGTAGAAATATATATTTTCGAAAGCAAGTGATTTTTTCAAACAGAGAAAAGAAGTTTTTATCGCACAAAACTGATTCGAAAACGCGTTAGTCTGTATACAGCCGCCCTCACCTCAAACAAAATCGGGGCGATTTTGTTTGAGAGGGGCGGGGGATGCTGTACCCAGGCTAAAATCGCTTTTTTTTCGCACAAGCGTCAAACTGAGCAACTGAAAGAAAGCTTTTACAAAAAAATGGTTTGATACGGTTCAGGCTCTCCGTGCATCTGAAATCCAACACTACGACTAAGCAACGAACAAGTTCGCGCATCCCCGGGAACGCCAGTGTTACACATAAACTTACCACTGAAAACGCTGTACGAACTGATACTGGCACTTGGCCCCACTCCCGCTCCCCGGCTGTGTGAATGTATAAGTGGCTTTACTATTGGCGTAGTTGTAGCAGTTGCTGCTTAACTGATCGGAGCGGCAAGAATGCTGTTCCAAGGGTAGGAAGTACTCTCATATGCGTAACGGTTTCGTCTACCGTTAACGGAAATCGGTTTCTTTGGGAGTAAGTTTTGTATATCGTTATTTTATAGTCACGAAGACAACGATAGGTCACCAATAACTCAAACGGTGTTGCCCCTATAGATATTTGATTTAATTTTCTGACTGTTATTTTTTTTTGTATTCTTTCTCACCGATTCAGCTGTTGCAAGGTTTAGGACTTAATCTCCCAGCGGGGGCTGAGACAGATCAGCACACGGGCTCAGCTATAGCAGTTTATTTGGTTCTTCATGGTGCCAACGTCAGCCTCTGCAACCACGAGGGAAAAACTCCATTGGACCTTTCTCAAGATACCCAGACTGCTGCCTTGATTCAGCAATATGCAAGAAATACACCGAGGTGGGGAAATTCATATTTACTCTATGTTCACCGACTACATCAGCTCTTCTCTGATACCGGGTAGGGCTTCTGTTGTCACATGAGAACGGTGATTTCGGTGCAAATACCTTAACGGAGCCAGGCTGCGCCGTGTTGGTCTGTTGGTGTTGGTCGTGGTTGTCATTTTCTTTGTGCCTAGGATTTTGTAGAATACTTCATGGGAAGGAAGTGCGGGCGTACGATATTTACGCACGAGTTGTTGACGCATCAGAAATAGAACTAGTGAGCGTAGCGAACGAGTGACATTTGCGATACAAGAGCGAGTGCGTAGATACCGTGCAAAGCACTTTCCATGTAGTATTGTGTTTATTCTATACATACTGAGACATTCATCATTTTAGCAGCCTTTTTGTTTTACTTTCCAAAATGCTAAAATTTGCCGCTAGATACCGTAAAATGAGAAAGAAAACGAAGTATCAGCTTATAACTGTAGTAAAAACGTTTGTTAAAAATGATAGTTATTATGATAGTGAATTTATATAGCGCTAAAACTATAAAATACTAAAAAACGCTTTACATTAAGTTACAATTGAAAAATTTTTTTGTAAGGCTAATTATAACAATAATAAAAACTTTTCCATGTTATGCTAAAATCTAAAAAGAAAGCGCTAAACATTCAGAGCTATTTCAACAAACTAAAAGCTTTTCTAAAAAGAATTGTTTTAAGATTCTTTTTAAGAATGGCGAGGCTGCGACTTGTTCTTATAGTTAATGGCAGCGAGTTAAATAAAACAGGTGCAGCATGAGCAAAGGCCCGATCCCCAATTGTAGAGCAGCTGACTTTTGGAAAGAACAGAAGAGATTGTGCAGACGAGCGAAGAGCATAATTAGCAGCTGGTTTCAGAGACAAAAGATCTTTAATGTAGAGTCGACTTTGGTTCTCTAGCGACTTGTAAACAAAAAGGAGCAATTTGAATTGAACTCTGAACGTTACTGGGAGCCAATGTAGGTCGATAAGTGCGGGTGTGATATGATGAAATTTAGGCATCTGAAAAATTACTCTAGCTGCGGTATCCTGAACTTTCTGTAAACGATCAAGTTGATATTTAGGTAGACCAAAAGGAAGTACGTTACAAGTAATCAAGGTGCAAAGATACATCAAGGCAGGACTTCACTAGCCATGTAGGAACAGGATCGAACCAACAAGAGGCGTTGGAGGATTCTCGAACAATCTTACACACTTCTTCTATGGATAGCGCGGACAAACTCTCCAGGTTCTCCTTAGTAGTAACAGAAGCAAGTCGAGGTTCTTGAACTTGTAACTTGTAAAGATTTTCCTTTATGGTTTCAATTTTTTTGGGAAGAGAAGTGCCAAATTCGTTAGCTAGCTTTGTGGGGTCTTCGTGCTCTGGGGGAGCCGTCTTAAGTGGTTCCCTGGGCAAGGAATTAACCACACGAAATAGCTTGCTGGAGTCACCCACACACTGATCAATTAGGCTAATAATTCACACTTAAAGCTTTAAGAAGTGCAGAGTACTGATTACGAACTCTATGGCAATTATTTCAGTCACCACGGAGGTCAGTTTTCACGGCTTTCTTTTCAAGGCGGCGATGTTTACGCTTGAGTTGCTTAATGTCATCACTAAACCATGGGACCTTTGGACGATTAATCATAGTCCTTGTTTTAAGCGAGGCATGCTTGTCCAGGATGTCAGTAAGGGTCGTGTTAAAGCAGTCGGAGAGTGCATCAATTTTGTCCCAGTGTGCGCCTGCAGAAAGCATAGAAGAGCCAATATCAGCTGAGAACGCGGCAATATCGATTTTTTTGAATTTACGAAAAGTTAGTTCTTTGCATGACAAAGCTGGTCGTGGGAAGCCAACAGGAGACTGAATAATAAAATGATCGGAAATGGAAAGAGTAGTTTTAGGAGAAGCAAGAACAACATCATCTGACGAAGGAGTAATAATTAAATCCTGGGTATGATCCGATAAATGGGTCGGGCCCGAAACGTGTTGCGAAAGACTAAACGTTTCCGGTACACTTTAACAATCCACTCAGAAAATTCGAAGGACTTGTTTTCCTTCCCATGCACTAATGAAACGTTGACAGAGTCTCTAGGCAGAGTTCTAGTTCCACCACCACGGTTTTGTGATTGTCTCGAAAATTCTTGAAGAAATAACCAGCCACAGATAACTGAGCAATACTGGCGGAATAAGCGTCATTTAAGCAGGTCTCGGTAACGCTGCAGGAGCCGATGTCATTTTCAACGACGTGGTCAGTGATGCTCTCGATCTCCCTTGACAATATATCGCTTTGACGAATTTTGTTGGACATCAGCTCCGCAGTTAAGATAAGGAGGAATGGGCCATCCTTGCCTCTACTAGGTTTAATGCATTTTGAAGCATAACCTTTATTAAGAACTGTGTTTTCTATGTTTCTGTAAAAGGTTTGGATCCACCTTCTAGAGCTCTCACCAAAGTTATGGAGGTCTAACGCCCTGTGTATACTTGACCACTCTTACTAGACTCTTAAAGAAAGGCCACCTCTTTAAGAGATATGGAGACTTGGAGATTATTATAGTTTGAAATTCTTTGAAAACTTGCCCAAAATTTACGAGGAAATTCTTTTATACTCAATGAACTCAAGATACTTTACAACGTCAACGATCGAGTATGCAACGATATACTTTTCAACAATAAAGAAATTCTTATTGGAGGAAAACTCTTCTTTTTTTACTTTCAAGTTCTGTGCCACAGCCCACAACACGGACGACTGGTCCTTCTTCCTTAAAGCCGCCTGTTGCGCCGCAACCATCAACGGCTCGGTCAGCGGTATGTTTTTCGTTTCCAACTCTATATTAGAGACCGTTAGATTCTTGGACAAGAACGACTACGAGTACGAGATTTAACTTTAATTTTCTCCAAAAAACATAGCTCTGTTATCTTTATTGAAGGAAGTTCCAGCCGCAAAATGACAAAACCTCTGACCTCTAACCTCTTGTTTCTGCTGCCACGACATTCTCGCTAAAATTTTGTGGTAGGATGACGACGCCTATCAAGTTTTTCCGCCAAACTGGCGCTGGCTCACGGGCGCGCACTGCTTAGTATTGAGAAAATCTCGTACTCGTAGTCGTACTCGTCATAGAACCTAACCGCAACATTGATCGCAATGGCGTGCGTGCGTGTGCACGTGTTTTGTAACTCGCTATTCGTGCAAAGGAGATTGAGAGGTTTTACAACTAAGCGACCATTTATTCGATTGCTACGAGAAACGTGAGGATTGTCAACCCTTCCTCTCCAGGAGCCAATCGCGCAATCATGAGACTGAATTCGTATGATACTTTTTTTTATTTTGGCGTAGGGCGTCGCCACAGGTTATACACATGATATGTACTTGTCTTCTTGAAGGTTTACATCTACAAAGACCATTTAGTGTTTTTCTTCTTTTTCAAATTTACAGTCAGGCGCTGCAGTGCAGCGTCAGAAAAAGACTCAGGATACAGTCAATCGAGCTGAGTCTGCAGGAACCGACTGCATTATCTGTTCAGAAAACGTAGCTACTGTTACATTCAATCCGTGTGGTCATAAAGTCACGTGTTCAGGTAAAACTATACAAAATGGTAAGAAAAAGCCTTCCGCACTGCGGATGGCTCGCGAGGCTTAGAGAAGGTGAACCAGCCTGGTTAGCTGGGCTGGCTCTGTCGTGCCTTGTTTCTTCTTAAAATTGTTGTTGTGTTTATATGAGAAGGCGGGCTGGCTTGCCGAGATCTTGGTTATTCTAGCCGGATCCTCGGCAGCGGGCCAGCCCACCTTCTCATATAAACATAACGAGAATTTTTAGGGAAAACAAGGCATGAGCCAAGCCAGCCCAGTAAAGCGAACCAGCCATTCAATGATGCCTTTCAAGCCTCAGTTAAGACTAAGCTTGTTTAAGAGTATTATGGTATTGTTTGAAAGGGCTTAACCGTCTTTTTTCGGTTTTGTGGTCGGTGAATGCTTGCAGCAGTCTCTACCTATAGTTATTTCAGCTGTGTAAACAAGATATTAGCGTACATACACGCCTGCAGCAACACTTTATGTCCCCGGTATGTTTAACGAAAGAGCTTTACGGCGCGACTGATCTTTGATCCACTAACTTCCTTTTGTATTTGCTGTGTAATTTATACCTTTTTTATGTTTTGAGCAGTTATTCTTTGTTTCAGTCACCAAAACAGCTCCTTTTACCTCAATTCACTTGATTAAGTGTTTTCTTTTTCAGTTTGTTCCAGGAAACTGAAGCGCTGTCTGAAGTGTTACGCAGCAATTCAACAGAAAACATCACCAGGTAAGTACCCTTTCACTCATACCAGTGGTCACTAATGATAATTATTATTTATTCAAAAGTTTTTGCCCTATCTGGTTGCCTCCAGTCCTCCAGTTATCAGTTATCATCAATTTCATTAAGTAACTTTGAATCAAGCAGCCCTTGGTCTTTCCTCAATTGTTTAGTGACGCTCATCGTTTGAGAACAAAATTTCCGTTGATAATCTTGTTAACTAACTCTCAGAGTTAACAAATTATTGGAAACTTGCGTAGCTGCTTAAGGCACGTACGTTCTCTTCGAGCGTCATACGGTAATGCACTTTACAGTAAAAAGTCTAATATTCTCCTCCTTTCCCTCCAAAAAAATATTTTTGTAAAAATATAAGAAATGAATAGTGACTGTGCAAAAGGTCCTCCAAAGAGATTTTATTTGAATGGTTACACCATAGAATTTCATCCATATACTCGGCCGTTAGAACTACATACTGAACAAGACGCTGTGGGAGCGTATATTCAGGCGTCAATGCACCAGGCGTGTGTCGAGTTTTTTTATGTGTAGTAGGGATGTGTTAGTAGTGCAGTAGCGTGGTATATTTTAGGGGTTGGTTGAGATGTGTGAAGTGGAAGGCGTGGAGTTATATTGGACGTGGACTGGTAAGATATTAGCTGTAGTTTGTTAATCATTGAAACTGGTTTCTCGTAGAATTTAATATGAAGTTACAAAAAATATATTTTTTGGAAGGTAAAATTGATTTTAGGTTTGCAGTGATGTAGTTGTGGGAGTGCCAATTTGATTATGAAGGGAAAGTGTAATTACAATCTGTTGAAATGAAGTGGTGGCTGTGAAAGATCTTATTATTTTGTGTGTGTGTTCGGGGGGCTTTGAAAAATCGGTGAGGTCAAAAGGGCGTAAAATCTGGGTATAAAATTAAGGGCCTGATTACATGAGCCGGGCTGGCTCGCTTTGTGGAGATCTGGGCACCTTAGTTAAAGGCACCAAAAATCAACTTTGCAATTTTATGACAACCGAGCCAGCCCGGTTAGCTGAGATCCCAGTTTTGTGATGCCAGGATGCCGGGTGGAAATTTTCCAAGTAATCACGCTTGTCAGGCGGCCCGGTGAATGAACCAAGCGAGAAACAGGACAGCGGGTAACACACTGCTCATGCGCATTGCTTCCAATCTCTATATAAAAATGGCGGCTCTGGGCAGGCTCTTTTCATGTAACAACGGCAGGGTTCTCAATAGATTTTTAAGTAGGAGGTGATCACTGATAAAGTAGGAGGCTCTTCCGCAAAGCCAGAGGTGTCAAAACAAAGCAAAGAAAAGCGACTTAAACACAAAGTAAGCGGCTATAAATCCCAAAGTAAGCGGCGATCAATCGCCGGGTGCCGCCTTCTATTGAGAACCCTGCAACGGGATAAAAGTCACCTCGGCACCTTACTGTGAGTTGTATTGTCACGCAGTTTGCACGTGAAAGCTTTGGAATTTGTCGCTTTCGTGGCTCGTTTATGAGAGAATACGACTTAATCTGGTTAACTCAAGGGTTTTAAAAATAACTGTCACGAACGCAGTTTGCACGTGAAGATGTTGGACTCTGCCCCATTTACGGTTCGAACGTGAAAGAATGCAACTTGTCTACGAGATCATTTTGCTCAATAAGATATGAAGAAATGACCTCCTTTTCGAAAATCTCCAATGAAATTATGCATCATTCAATGTCACCCTTATTTATCTCATGCACAATCAAGGAATTTTGCATGACATCTTCTTCGGCTCTCGACAACTGAGGGCAAAAATATTGTCAAACTTTTGGCAATAAGTCAAACCCTGTCAATTCTACAGACAGACAGACAGATTTACCTTCAAATTTCTTAAAAATCGCCCGGCTTCTAGGTAAGATAAAACATACCCTAAGCTTGAGATTTATAAATTTATATTTTGGAGCAAAAAATCGTCCTCTGGGAGGACATGTCCTTACTTCCAATGAATAGTCTGTACAATAAAAAAGGGCAGTGGCCGGTACCTGTGGTCCGGAGGAAAAACCTTCACGCCGTGTGCTGCGAGGACAATTATTTTCCAAAGGGAAAAATTGAAATTACCTGTACCTTGTTTTTTCAATACGTTTGATTTCTATTGCTGATTTGTTTGCCGTGTGTTATCTTTGGGACGTGTTAAACGAAGATAAATGCCTTGTCGAGACACATCGCGCGGCAGACATCCTAGTCGCGTCGCTTGGCTTGTTTACTTGGGTTGTTTACGTTGGCAAGTATTGCGTGCCTATTGTAACTTTGAATCAAAACAAGCGATCTTGATTACTCTATTTGGGCGACGCCCAAATAATAAATGTTACCATGTGAAAGTACTGCTAAGAGGTTTCATTTGAATGGCAACAAAATACGATTTCGCCCACAGACTTGAAAGTTAGAACTACATACTAAATAAATAGTACCACGTGAAAGTACTGCTGAAGAGGTTTCATTTGAATGGCAACACCATAGGATTTCACCCACAGACTCAACAGTTAGAACTACATACTAAACAAATAGTACCATGTGAAAGTACTGCTGAAGAGATTTCATTTGAATGGCAACAAAATACAATTTCACCCACAGACTTGAAAGTTAGAACCACATACTAAATAAGTGGTACCATGTGAAAGTCCTCGTCTGCTGAAGAGGTTTCATTTGAATGGCTACACCATAGGATTTCATCGACGGACTCAAAAGTTAGAACCACATACTAAATAAATAGTACCATGTGAAAGTACTGCTAAGAGGTTTCATTTGAATGGCAACACCATAGGATTTGACCCACAGACTCAAAAGTTAGAACTACATACTAAGTAAATAGTACCATGTGAAAGTACTGCTGAAGAGATTTCATTTGAATGGCAACAAAATACGATTTCACCCACAGACTTGAAAGTTAGAACCACATACTAAATAAATAGTACCATGTGAAAGTACTCGTCTGCTGAAGAGGTGTCATTTGAATGGCTACACCATAGGATTTCATCGACAGACTCAAAAGTTAGAACTACATACTAAATAAACAGTACCATGTGAAAGTACTGCTAAGAGGTTTCATTTGAATGGTAACACCATAGGATTTCACCCACAGACTCAAAAGTTAGAACTACACACTGAATAAATAGTACCATGTGAAAGTACTGCTGGAGAGGTTTCATTTGAATGGCAACACGGTAGGATTTCACCCACAGACTTGAAAGTTAGAACTACATACTAAATAAATAGTACCATGTGAAAGTACTGCTGAAGAGGTTTCATTTGAATGGTCACACCATAGGATTTCATCAACAGACTCAAAAGTTAGAACTACATACTAAATATAGAGTACCACTGGAAAGAACTGCTGAAAAAGAAGTTTCATTTAAATGGTAACACGACAGGATTTCATCCACAGACTCACAAATTAGACCCACTTACTAATTAACGATTATTCCACAATTGCGCGTTGGATATGAGATGGTAGAGCCAACGAGGGTCGTAGCGCCGAGTTGGCTATGATCATCTCATATCCAACAAGCGCGAGTGGAATAATTGTTTTATTAAAAACGCCCACAAAATATCGAGAATTCTTCCCAACTTTATTTGTAAAAACAACCGATTTTCAGCTTTTTTTTAATTTTGAGCAGACGCCTGACAGTTACCATATTTGGAGAGCATGGTATAATGTCTCATATACCACGATAGCTGAGCCAATCAGAGCTCTAGAGTTGCATTATCCAATGATTCAGTTTTTAATAAATAAATATAGTCCAGTCATATTGGGGGCTGACCCGGAACAAATTCCCACAAAAGCTTTCTCTTCGAAAATGTCTCAGAACTGACGAGTTATTGAACATATCAAAAGTCCTAAAAAATCCGAGCACGACAACATGGTGAAATTTAGCAAAACACTGAGGAGCTCTTTCCACATAACATGGAAACGAGGCTGGAACAGGAAGTGCAGTTTTACTGGCCTTGTATTATTATAGCATAAATAAAATCATTAAAATATGATAGAAAACACTCTGCTTCTTGTATTTATTCACGTTTTATCATGACATGACTAAAGAAAAAGGGAAAATATTCAAAATTTACTTCTAGCGTGAGCTTTTATAAAATGTGTTTGATCGCGGCATTCAGACCTTCTAACAGATTTAGGAATGTTAAGCATTATGTTTTCTTCATTTCTTGTCACTAGCAAAAAAAAAACCGAAAAAAAACAAATTTGCCGTCACCCAGTCTAACAGCAAAGTTGATTTTATCTGGCCTTACAGCAAAATTAATTTGTCCCGGACTAACAACATTTTCCTTCCAAGCGACTGTTTCAGCTACTCATCCTCTTCATCGTCACTGTCACCAAGAACGGCACTGATATTTGTGCATGCGGTTTCACGACACTGTCCACATGCGGGAGAACAGTCTAGTCCATGCTTAAGGAAGCTGCACCTTGCGGAGGCACAGTCAGTTGCACAGTTGCAGCGGACCATCTTGAGCAAGGACTCTGGAGCAGCCGGTAGATCAGTGGTCACGTGAATCACCTGGTTACCGCTAAGCTTCCAGCCCCTGTCTTCAAACTGCATCCCCTTACCAAGACACTGCCACTGTTTGACCTGTAGAAAGGCTGTGGTATCTGGCTGCTGCGGATGCTGGGGGAAGGTTCTGGGGTTGTATCTGTTGACCTCTGGTTGCCACTTTTTCGTAGTACCGGCGGTAGGGGAGGCTATCGAGGCTCTGTCCTTGTTTTCCTCCATACAGCACCACTAGAGCATTCTCTCCCGCTGTCGCAACCTCGGCTTGAGTTGATCCCGGGATATCGAATACCTTCGCTTGATCTTGGAAGTAGACAGATTCACAGTATTTTTTAAGGGACGCGGGTTTTGCAATACTGTAAGGGCGATACGTCGTATCACAACCCGGAATGGCATGCAGAAACAACATGTTGCGGCAAACCGCAGGGCCAAGCTCCGCCTTCACTTTCAGCATGTTCCAAACTCTGCTCTCTCTGGAGCTAGAGTTGGCTTTTGGCTATGGCCGAAAGTACAAATCATTGCCATTTGCTTTTGTGTGATAGCAGAGTAACACTAACATATCGGTATCATCTTCTACGAGCACTGTGGGATGCGTTACGGCAGAGTAGAGAGCTGTTTTGACGATAAGAACATCTTCATCACCCTCAGCTTGCAACGTGCGACCGCCACTTTCTAATAAATGGCGCTGCAACATGACAATGAACCGCTTCTTGTTCTCTGTGTTAGCAAGGAATGCATCTTTCTTAGCCGTCACTTTCATCCCATCTTGGAAGGTTACGGTTGCACTCCACGTTCTTGCTGAGCGTCTCTGGTGGGTCATACTCTTGGTCGAGGGTTCACTGCCATAGCCGTCAAACACCACTGTTGCTGTTTACTCACCTGCACGAATAAAGAAAGCAATGGAATTGAGATCTTTATGAAAAATTCGAAGAGACAAACGCCGGCAAGGTCCTTCCTGACTGAAATGCGTGTTCTTCGTGTGTGCTCATTTTGGTTCTAAAACAGCACCAATAAATTATTCTAGTGAGAAAACGCTTGGTAGCATTGTACAATAAAATCAAGTCAGCCATTTAGAGGAGTATAAGTTACTCACCTGAACCATAGTTATTAGAGGAGACTGGTTATGACAAGCGGCAAACATCAATGATAAAAACAACAGTGCTGCAGTTTATGTTCAAAGCACCGTGAAAGTGCACAATCCTTTGTTTTCTGTTGGCAAATTGTTACGGAATAAATTAATGAAACGTTTTTATTGGTCAATACAATCAAAATGATAGGAATTCTTTTGAACGTTGTGCACTTTCAGGTCCACAAAAACATATAACAAAGGAGTCTGACGGGTTTCATAACCATTCCACTCAATTAACTATGCCTGAACAAAGAAAGCGAAGAAGACGAGATCTGACGAGACAAACACCGGCCAGTTGTGTCTGGACTGAAATGTGTGTTCTTCAGACAAACGCCGGCAAATTAGTTCTCCGCTGTACAGTAAATTTTGGCGGCCAAATTACCGGTTTATGTGATACAGCACCACCAAATTTAGTATTTCAGTTAAAAGAGGAAATTCATTTTCTTTGCTTGCTAAAACTTTCTTTATTTCTTGTTTAACTACGGCTTTAAAAACTTTTCCTCTCTCGCATAGATCTTATTGTATTATTGTAAAATTTAACATTGCGCGTTTATATTTTACGGTACAAAACTGTGCATTTCCAGCCCCACTCTCCCAATAAAAATCATTCCAGATGTATTTATAGTCTTTTATTGTTAAATATAAGGATGTAAATAACTAAGTTTCATCGTTACAAGGAATTATAGTTATGATTTGTGCGGTATTTTAGTAGACATTCGGACGACTTATGATCAGCCTCGTTTCCATGCAGTGAAAGACGCAGCGGTCAACAGCTCCAACAAAATCCAGCTTTTCGACATGTTGCCATGCTAGGATTTTTGGGGCCTTTTGATATGTTATTATGCAATAAATTCTAAGTAAGTCTAAAACCGTTGAGATTTCTTTTGTGGGAATTTGTTCCGGGTTGACCTTTTTTTCCGCGTAAAATGACTGCTCTAATAGTATCATTTCAAAGTACTGCTGAAGAAGTTTCACTTGAATGTGGGTTATTGGTTTCGCGGCTCTCGGACCGGGTTTTCCAGGCCCGAGACCATGTGTCCCAAAAATTCGTTCTAAAATTCAAATCCATTGTTATGAGGACAACAAATACCTTATTCACAAGAGTACATAATTGCACAAGTTTTAAGTGTCATTGTCTGAGAAAGTGTTCCAGGGGCCAAAAGTTGTGGTCAACCGATTTGGCTGAAACTTGGCACAGAAGTTGGGTGTGATGAGATATTTCAAAAGCCACTTTAGCTCACTTCTCTGACTTTTAGTTTTGGAGTTACAGGGGGGTCTCATTTTTTGCCCTTTGAGCACCAAAAATCCAGCCTTCCAGGGGGCATTTTGAAAGTGTGATAAGACCCCACCGGTAAATTGTGCTCCCAAATGAATTTTATCATGAACTCTACTATAATAGAGCTTTCAGTTCATGTATGTAACTTTGTCCTCAAGGTATTGCACAGCGAGGAGCCTGGGGCTAGAGTTTGGTCAAAATTGATGTTAAGATTACAACCCAAAATAGCCATTTTTCAAAATTTCACTATATTCACCTGCCTTCTTGCATAACTTCCATACCTATTCCACTGTTTGCTTCAGTCACCAAATTATCAAAATCAGTTGAGAAAAATTCGGCTTATTATGGTTTATTGAATTTTTGGAACAAACACTTCATGCCCCTCTAAGGCGATGCAAAATGGACTTTTGAGCATAATTCAGGCCATAAACGAACCGAATTGTTGACAAGAAGCCCTAATTGTGTATTTGGTAAATGAAAATGAATTGTCAAAGCCAAATCAGTTTCGTTGTTTAGAAATACACCGATTCTTACCTTTAAATTGATCTAAAACAGGCCTCTGATTAGCACAAAAAACACATGATTAAGCAAAACAAAGGTGATTTTATTCTTTGAAAACCTAACAACCACCATGGGAACACAAATGATGATGTTCTGACATAGATATAACGACCTTTTTACGAGATGCTTAAATTTTTCTTTGATTTATGTTCAGTTTCACGTCATATTTCTAAGCATTATTCCAAACATGTGAAGTCTCCACATTTTGTCAGGCCCATCTTTTTTACATTTTTACCAGATAAATTTAGCTTATCAAAAGGTTCGTTAACATATAATCTTCGTCTGACCTTGTAATAGCCTGAATAGTTGTTGTAAATACCCATCAGCAAAGGAGCATGACCATACTTACATAGAATATACAAACATATACGAGAATCAGTGAGCAGTATCGAGGTGAACTGTGATTTTCCGAGTACTTAAGAGCTTAAAAAATGAAACCATCCATCCACAGTTAGGAGAGCTGGATAACAAAAAGCTCTTGTTGTTTTTTTTTTAAGGAAAATAACCCAAACAAAGCCTTGCATTGAGATGATGTAGTTGTTATTATATCAAATTAACTACCCGCCATTTTGTTGTTGGAGAGTGTGGGGACTGGATCGAGTTCCCGTCCAATCCTTCTCCTGTTTCGCGGGAATTTTTACTGGGCTGCCCGGCAAGCCCAGTCATAAAATGGGTTTTCGGTCGTCTGTGTCAAAAAGTGGTCATCCGGGGGAGGGAAAACACGAGGGTCTGGTAGGTAGAAACGATGTTCTCACAAATGGTTTCATAGGATTTTCTCTTGCATGAACCCTTGCACGGATACTTTTTGTACCTTGTCTGCGCCCCCCCTGAAAAACCCACAAGGCGTTGCGAACCTGAAGAAGGCTATTTGCGTTGTTCGAAGCGATTCGACCATGGGAGTAACTCTATAATATTTTTATTGTTCGAGTTTAAGTCAGTTAGATGATGTTGGCGCTGGGAAACTCAGAGAAATGCTCGCGTTGCATTCAAACCGACCCACGGTTCACGGTAGGTTCACACTAAAAGACTGAAAAGATGACTGTGCTTGTCAGGTTTGGAACGCCTAGGCTGCTTCGTGAACTATCGATCGATGTAGTACATGAGCAATTAAGAAGCACAATTTATGAGCAAAGTATTTCACCAGTTGACGACACTATGGCTGAAGACTTGATTGTAAGCCGTCATGGTCAGTGAAGCGAACAACTCAGTTGCCGATGAATGGCAGATGAATCCTGATGTGACGCACGTCCATAAGCGAAGGACGTGACAACTTTGCCATGTTAGAAGACTGGCTTTTCCTTTAAATATTTCCTTCTATTTAATGCAACACACGCCACTTTGGAGATCTAAATTTCGGATACTGAGGATAAAGAAGACACGGACAAAAATAGGAACTCTGAGAATTTCGTACACAAGTTTAAAGCTTCTCCGGGACATCTCATCCGGGAGCTTCACAGAGAGCGACTTGAGGAAAATAGGAGCTTTTACTCTGATTACTGACAAGGTTTGGTGACTGAGTAGAGCATACAAGTGTAGCCCACGTCGAGGTTTCAGGGAGTTTGCTTTTGTTTGTATCTGTATCTTGCTAAGCTTTTGTCATTAAATTTGTACAAGATCTTGTGATCACAATTCTGTGTTTTCGCCCATTCAGCAAGCACGCTATATTGATGTCAGCATTAGCGAGTTTCAGAAACATGTCTTTGAAAATTTTCAGCTCTCGTGATGTTTCTTGATATTTCTTTTACTATTTTATGGAGATGTAAACTGAAGTCACCGCAAAATGGAAACTTAAAAAAGCGTATAGTCCATTTATCTCGAAACATAACACACTTGACTTATACGACCTTTATTTTCGTAAAGGTGTTTTGAATACGAACGAACACAGTCAATGTGAGGGGCAAAAACAGCATTAATATAAATGAACCATAGGATTTTAACTAATATAAGGGTCAATTATTGTGCATTGAGATGAATCGCTTGAAAAGAGAGACTTCGCTTGAAGATGTGATCAGAAGTAAACAAAGGCATAATAGTGCGTCACGTTCAGTCTTTTTAATATCCAAGGAGTCACTGTGAATAGTGTTTCCATATTGTTTAGCTGGCACAAAAACCTCGGACGAGTTATAAAGCGGCATAGTTATCTTCCATGAAGAAAAGTTAGTCTTGGGTGAGACAAACAGAACTGGAGCGAATTTTTAACTCACATCGGTATCAGGTAAACTTGAAAATATGTTATCGATCGTTTCATCTATTTACATTGCTTGAAGTGCGTGCTGGTGAACGCAACATGCGAGCGAGAAATCTTTAAACTTTTTTAGGTCTCAAAATGCAAAGGATTTTATTCCTTTAAGTTAGAGAAAAATACGGTGAGGAAAATCTTAAAACTGAATACTTTTCATCTTGTGGAAAAAATAGTGCGTTTTCATGTAGACTATGGACCGCAAATTAGGATCGCACTTTTCACAAACATGCGAATTCTGAAGTTCAGAACCCAACCGACGATTGCGTTTTTCGCTGCTGTCAATCATCTTAACGGACCTCTTAGGAAACAAAACTTTACTTCACGGGTTCAAAAGGTCATGGTTTGTGATTTGTGGATTTCGATCCGTTTTGTGTGTTTCTCTGTTTCAAGGTTCGTTGCTTGTGATCGCAATTATGATTGACGGCAGAGATAAACACAATTGTGAAGGTGGCTTTTGAACTTTAGGGTTCGCATGTTTGTGAAAAGCGCAGTAAAGTCTCCGTGCAGTCAGTGAGGCCCCTGGATCAGGCGGGATCAATGGGCAGTTAACTGTCTGTTTTAGTATATTTCTGGTTCTCATACAATACAATATTTCTGTCTAGTGTAAATCAGCTCAGTCTGTCGCATTTTATGCTCGTAGAAGGACAACAATTTTTGGAAATTCCTGTTACGTCAAATTAGTCACGTTATACTGTCACGCTATATTTTGGGGCACAGAGGGATTGGGGGAGGGGTGCGTGGAAATAATGCAAATTGTTTCCTGTTTAGAATTAATGGCTAACTTGTTTATTTTTATTCATAATGGTGGAATTTAAAAGTTATTATACAGCCCCCACTTAAAAATGGTACTCTTTTTTTTTGGTTACGAAAGTCTTTCAAAAGGGTACAATGTTCTGAATGAGTTTATGTTTCAGTCTCACATGAGATTCTGTTGCATGCAATGGTTGCCGACAAGGTTTTATGGTAGCCTGAGTGTGTATAGCTGCCCCCTCCCCTCAGAAAAAATAGCCCCTTTGCAGCCCAGTTAAAAATCGCCTTTCGGCGATTCTTGTTTTGTGTTTTACATCAGGTGTGTTCGAAGTTCTGGAAGGTGATCTGTTTCAGGATGATTTTACGGTGGCATTTATTCCTTTGGAGGGGTGAATGACCAGTGCGGTGTCACGTCGTGGGCTGTGCAAGAAACAGGAATACTTCCTTTGTTGTCTTGCGATAGCGGCATGACTGCATGGTTAAAGCACAAGTAGAAGGGTTCAAGTGTGTCCGGGGAAGAAGAGGAACACCTGGAGATGCCAAAGCTACAGGTAATTCAAGAGATCAGGTAGTTATCATACACGCGCACAAATGGCTCTTATCGCGGTTTACGGGACTCCTTTATTTGCCTGTTTCGTCGAAGACAAGTGAACTTAAAATAGGCCTAGCCACATAATTCCGCAGGAATTGTTTTGGGAATATTATACACCAAAAAGAATTTTAGAAAATCTCAAGAATATTAGAAAAATTGTAAAACACTAGAACTTGAATAGCAGTATATATAGGAGAATACTGAATAACAGTTTGAACAGTTAACCGAATTTTGGCAACATTTCACAGGCAAAAACGTTGAAAAAACGTCCTTATTTTTCTATATTTTTTCATTAAATTTTTAATTAAATAGTTAACATTATTTTAAATAATTTTTTAATTAAATAATGAAACAATTTTTTTTACAAATATACACGAATCTTCCGTGCTGTTCCAGAACAATTCAGAGTCAGGTCCCATTCAAGAACGACATATGTGTGTTCATTGTGTATGCTTTATTCCAAGCAAATACAATAATATCAACTAATTCGGTCGATTTTGCGACGGCGTTTTAATGACATTTTCTCGCTGAAAATGTCAATTTCATCGAAAAACTTAGATGCAGCATGTTTTCAAAGATCTTCGACGAAAAGGGTAAATAATGGAAATCAGTAACTGAATTGTGCATTGCATGATAAGCGTGTGCACGTGACAAGCTGAATGTAAACAAGCAGCTTGAGCAGACACAAAACAGCCTTCAAGTTATTCTTATCGTCCTTGTCTTTTTTTTTTTGACAAATTTGTTGAATGTTTAGTGCTTTTTCTAAGGGACTTGTCAGAAATTAGCAGGCAGGGGGGGGAGGGGAGGTGGGAATTTTATTTTTGGGTTCGGAAATGAGGTGACCCATCCCTGCAATGGGAATGAAATTTGCTAACCCTCCCCTAGAGCTTGACCTAAAATATCATGACCCTCCCCCTCTTGTATAAATGATAAAATCTAGTTCTTGCAATACACTAGGGTGAGTCAGTATTATGAAAACTCAAAATATATTTCTAATCTGTTCTTTGTAATGCTGTATACATACACTCGACTCTCCTACTTCTCCCAAGTTTTTTTTTTACCAAATAAAGAACTTCCTTTTTCTTCTGTGGGTGAACCTCTATATGATCACGGGCATGCATTTGCACGACCCTCCCCCTTTTAATGGCCCATTTTTCATGACCCCTCCCTTTTCTGAGTCTCAAAAAGTTGTGACCCTCCCTCTGTTTCCACCCCCCATCCACTCCTGCTAATTTCTGACAAGTCCCTAAGGACCCAGGAAATTAACATGGGAATCAATCAACCATAAACAAACAATCTGAGACGACAATATCGTAAATTATATATCATCGTCTTTCTTTAAGCAAAAGAGTTCCGTAAACCGCGATGAGAGCCATTTGTGCGCGTGTATGATCCCTAACTGATCTTCTGAATCACCTGTAGCTTTGGCATCTCCAGGTCTTCCTTTTCTTCTCCAGACGCACTTGAACCCTTCTACTTGTGCTTTAACCAGGCAGTCCTGCCGCTATCGCAAGACAACAAAGGAAGCATTGCTGTTTCTTGCAAAGCCCACAACGTGACACTGCACTGGTCATTTACCCCTCTAAAGGAATAAAGTGCCATCGCAAAATTATACTGAAACAGACCGCGTTCTAGAATTTCGTACACACCAGGACCCAGTCGTTCGAAGGCCGATTAGCGCTTAACCCGGTGTTAACTTTAACCCGTGTTTGTTTTTCGTGTGTTTAAAAGCATTTTCTCGGATAAATTTCTCTGCTATATTTAGAGCTTCCAATCATCAACTTGTAGACAAAAAGAATTAGAACTGAAATGCTTTTTAAGCTTTCAAATCTGAATTCAAATCTCGCACTAACCCTGGGTTATCTTAACCCTGCTTTGAGCAACTCGGCCCTGATGAAAAACACAACAAATTCCCGCGAAAAGGAACTCCGTCCAGTCCCCACACTCCAAAATTGCAGGCCAGCTAACTTGATGTAATAACAATTGCACCATCTCAATGCAAAGATTTGTTTGAGTTGTTTTCTTTAACAAAAGCAAAACAAGCTTTTTGTTATCCAGCTCTCCTAACTGTGGATAGATGGTTTCATTTTTTCAACTCTAAAGGACTCGGAAAATGACAGTTCACCTCGATACCGCTCACTGAAGCTCGTATATGTTTGTATAATCTACGTATGTATGGTCATACTACTTTGATGGGCATTTACAACAACTATTCATGCTATTATAAGGTCAGACGAAGAATATATGATAGCGAACCTTTTGATAAGCTAAATTTATCTGGTAAAAATATAAAAAAATGGGCCTGACAAAGTATGGGGACTTGGAGTAATGCTTAGAAATATGACGTGAAACCACAGGTGGCCCAAGCGTAATATGGGCCACCTGTGGTGTAATGTGAGAGTTTGTATGGGAAAAATAGAGTTTGAAACTTAGATGAAATAAATGTCAGGTCAGATGATGTAAAAGTACTCAAATCGACCTGAAACTTCGTAAAAACAAAGACAACGGCTCCAGGTAACAATATTTACACTTTACTGATAACTTTTATCGCTTTTACTTCATTTATTTCATCTAAGTTTCAAACTCTATTTTTCCCATACAAACTCTCATAATATACCATAGGTGGCTCATATTACGCTTGGGCCACCTGTGGTGAAACTGAATATAAATCAAAGAAAAATTTAGGCATCTTGTAAAAAGATCGTTATATCTACGTCAGAACATCGTCATTCACGGTGTTCTCATGGTGGTTGGTAGGTTTTCAAAGAATAAATTAAATCACCTTTGTTTTGCTAAATCATGTGTTTTTTGTGCTAATCAGAGGCCCGTTTTACACCAATTTAAAGGTAAGAATCGGTGTATTTCTAAACAACGAAACTGATTTGGCTTTGACAATTCATTTTCACTTACCAAATACAGAATAACAACAATTTGGTTTGCTTATGACCTGAATTATGCTCAAAATTCCATTTTGCATCGCGTTAGAGGGCATGAAGTTTTTGTTCTAAAAATCAATAAACCATAATAAGCCAAATTTTTTTCACCTGATTTTGATAATTGGGTGACTAAAGTAAACAGTGGAATAGGTATGGAAGTTATGCAAGAAGGCAGGTGAATATAGTGAAATTTTGAAAAATGGCTATTTTGGGTTGTAATTTTAACCTCAATTTTGACCAAACTCTAGCCCCATGCTCCTCTCTGTGCAATACCTTGAGGACAAAGTTACATGCATGAACTGAAAGCTCTATTATAGTAGAGTTCATGATAAAATTCATTTGGCAGCTCAATTTACCAGTGGGGTCTTATCACACTTGCAAAATGCCCCCTGGAAGGCTGGATTTTTGGTGCTCAAAGGGCAAAAAATGAGACCCCCCCTGTAACTCCAAAACTAAAAGTCAGAGAAGTGAGCCAAAGTGGCTTTTGAAATGTCTCATCACACCCAACTTCTTTGTCAAGTTTCAGCCAAATCGGTTGACCACAACTTTTGGCCCCTGGAACACTTTCTCAGACAATGACAGTTAAGTGGTGATTTACTCAGTTTGAACGAAAGTGTAATATTTTGGAGATTTTTCATTATTTTCAATATTTTGAACGTTTTCGTTCAATGATTATTGTATGTGCGTATATATCTGCGGTGATACCTTAAAGAACCGTAGTAGCCCCCGGGCTTACAAATCATTGTCAGAGACTGTTACGTCCCTAATGATTCTGTTCATTTCACAAGAATCAGATGTTGAAATTGTTGTAAGACACCGGGCCTGTGATTTTTTCTCCTTTTCTGAGAAGTGTAGAAAGTCGAAATATAGGCTATTTTACAGTTGAAGGTTTGGCTGAGGTTGACCATGTTTTGATACAACGCTCCTTATTTTTCTTATGAAAATTATGTTTGAAAAATACTAGTTAACTGAAGAACAACATGAGTTATATAATAAAGTAAGAAGGGTTGTTTTCAAACAAGGTCAACTCCAGCCTCGTTTTCACCTAATCGTAGCTCTATCGACTCAGAGAGTTTGGTTTCCAACCAATTACCAAACCAGTTGGTAAGTATCTTGATGTTGAGATGATGTAAACTGCTTAAAGTCCAACCTTTTGTTTTAAAATCCGTCCAGTGAACATTGCAAAGAAAAATAAGAGACTGCTGGTAGTGTAGAGATGATTCAGTTAGCTCTAGTAATGATCTCTTGGCTTGATTCATCATTTTTCAGAGGACGGCACGGTCAGCATTTCAACCTTAATGGACGAGACATACTACGCCGAACGAATACGCCTTCTAGAGTCTCAACTGCAAGCCAGGGAAGATGTTATTCAGTGTCAAATCTGCATGGAAAGACACAAAACAGTGGTGTTTTTTTGTGGTCATGGCACCTGCAAAGAATGCTCAGAAGGACTCATAAATTGTCATATTTGCAGGCAAACGATACAGTCTTTTGTTTCAACAGGTAAGGGCCATTCATGGCCGGTAAGGCAAAAAACACGCCCCACTTTCTTGGAAGGGTTAGTGGAGTGAGGGATATGGTCCACCCTAGGAGGAGCTAAGTTCTTTGAAACATCATTGCCTCATTTTAAGACGTATTTTACGCCAATCGGTCGGCCGTTGTTATCTTTAGACAACAATTTAAGAGCGGATGTCAGTAAAATATCGACCAGAGGTCTACAAAAGTGAAAAATCGAAAATTCTCAAAAAAATTTTACAAAGTAGCACTAGGTAAGCTATTAACATAAATGTAATTTTTACTTCGATCCGATAATTATTTTCCACGTACGGGGGGGTTATTGGTTTTGCGGCTCTCGGACCGGGTGTTCCAGGCCCGAGACCATGTGTTACAAAAAATCGTTTTAAAATTCAAATCCATTGTAATGAGGACAACAAATACCTTATTCAGAAGAGTACATATTTTGAACGAAAGTGTAATATTTTGGAGATTTTTCATTATTTTCAATATTTTGAACGTTTTCGTTCAATGATTATTGTATGTGCGTATACATCTGCGGTGATACCTTAAAGACCCATAGTAGCCCCCGGGCTTACTGATTATTGTCAGAGACTATTACGTCCCTAATGATTCTTTTCATTTCGCAAGAGTCAGATGTTGAAATTGTTGTGAGACACTGGGCCTGTGGTTTTTTCTCCTTTTCTGAGAAGTGTAGAAAGTCGAAATATAGGCTATTTTACAGTTGAAGGTTTGGCTGAGGTTGACCATGTTTTGATACAACGCTCCTTATTTTGCTTATGAAAATTATGTTTGAAAAATACTAGTTAACTGAAGAACAACATGAGTTATATAATAAAGTAAGAAGGGTTGTTTTCAAACAAGGTCAACTCCAGCCTCGTTTTCACCTAATCGTAGCTCTATCGACTCAGAGAGTTTGGTTTCCAACCAATTACCAAACCAGTTGGTAAGTATCTTGATGTTGAGATGATGTAAACTGCTTGAAGTCCAACCTTTTGTTTTAAAATCCGTCCAGTGAACATTGCAAAGAAAAATAAGAGACTGCTGGTAGTGTAGAGATGATTCAGTTAGCTCTAGTAATGATCTCTTGGCTTGATTCATCATTTTTCAGAGGACGACACAGTCAGCATTTCAACCTTAATGGACGAGACAGACTACGCCGAACGAATACGCCGTCTAGAGTCTCAACTGCAAGCCAGGGAAGATGTTATTCAGTGTCAAATCTGCATGGAAAGAGACATAACAATGCTGTTTTCTTGTGGTCATGGCACCTGCAAAGAATGCTCAGAAGGACTCAAAAATTGTCATATTTGCAGGCAAACGATAAAGTCTTTTAGCTCAACAGGTAAGGGCCATTCATGGCCGGTAAGGCAAAAAACACGCCCCACTTTCTTGGGAGGGTTAGTGGAGTGAGGGATATGGTCCACCCTAGGAGGAGCTAAGTTCTTTGAAACATCATTGTCTCATTCGGATGTCAGTAAATATTGACCAGAGCTCTACAAAAGTGAAAAATCGAAAATTCTCAAAAAAATTCACAAAGTAGCACTAGGTAAGCTATTAACATAAATGTAATTTTTACTTCGATCCGATAATTATTTTCCACGTACGGGGGGGTTATTGGTTTTGCGGCTCTCGGACCGGGTTTTCCAGGCCCGAGACCATGTGTCACAAAAAAATCGTTTTAAAATTCAAATCCATTCTAATGCGGACAACAAATAACTTATTCAAAAGAGTACATAATTGCACACATTTTAAGTTGTGATTTACTCAGTTTGAACGAAAGTGTAATATTTTGGAGATTTTTCATTATTTTTAATATTTTGAACGTTTTCGTTCAATGAAAAAATGGTAAATTTCAAAGCCCCAAATCGTCGACTGGTACCTCGATTTCAGTAACGAGTCTTATACCACGTTAAAGAGCGTTATCTCTTCTTTCGAAATTTGTTTTCAAAACTATGGGCAACTGAAAAGAAAATTTTGGGGGCCAAAAAATACAAGTAGTACTTTTCTAAAATTTGAGCTTTCCAGACTCGGCGAGCCGATGCTAAAAACTCGGAAAAATACAATAAGAAATCAGTTTGAGCAACAGTGGTTTCAAGTTATCAGCTTTCGGAAACCAAGACGTGTTTATACAGCGATCTGATATAAATTAACGCCGTTTGCTATCAAGAAAGGCAGATTTAAGCTGTCAACTCCTGCCAAGTGCACAAGACACGTGAAGTTGTCAAAGGGAGGGCAAAGCACTAATTCGAACTGATATTAAAAAGTCTTAAAATTCAAAACGTTTTACGTCCATGAAATCAGATTTTAGCGTAGAAAACAATGTTGTGAATGTCTGTTGTTCGTACCCTAGCATGGTGTTTCCATATATTGGAAATTTCAAGTATCCACACGGGAGAACATACCAAACAACAACGTTTTAAATCCAAGCGCCGAAAGATCGTAAACGGCAAAGATTGCGTTACATTTCAGAGAACGACCGCTTACCACTGTTGTCACTCCTTTTTTCGCTGGAAGCTACGAGGAGTTTTCATTCCGTCATGAGTGATTCTTGATCAGCGCTTTCTTGAAAGTACGACCCCGGACAGATGATAACTGAGAGCTACTGAGGACGTTTTGTCAAGACTCCTGTTGTTCAGTTTCAGGCTTTAGCAGGTGCGTAGTCAGGATTTTTCCGGAGGTACGCCCAACTTTTTCTACATCGTCTTCCCCACCCCAAATCTCAACATTTTTTTAAGGTGCCTTTATTAAAGGTGGGGTTAATCAAGCTTGTACTACCTCCGACTTTAGTTTACAAATGACTCTTTTTACCCTTTTTTGTCGCATTATTTTTGACCGACAAAAGCACCACACATTGACGTAGTTGTGCCCTACTTCGTCTACTCCGTAGACAGGTCGTGGAGAAAACAACGCGTTCACGCTTTACATCATCAAGCTTGCTATATAAGTAAATCATCCAAGATTCGGTTCTCCCATTAATGTCGTCGCTTCTCTGGAAACCGATTTTTTTAGTTATGTTTATTTCATTCTATTTTTTCTCCTCAACGTTTTCGGGTACGCGCATGCGAACCGTGCGTACAAGTAGCTACGTCCCTGTTTAGTCCCCTTAGCCCTGAGCGTTCCTCTCTTGCGGTTTTCGCAGGAGTTCCGAATGTGGTCCACCCAGTATTTCACGTCTCTATTACATGACAGGCAGCACTTCTTGTTTACCGTTTTGTTATCAGACAGCGCTTAGACTCTTAGCCTTTCATTTAATTTTGATCAAATTTTTATCATTTAGTTACTCAGTATACGTTCGATCCTGTCCTTGTAAACTTATACTTTTATGCTTTAAGGGAGCTTAATACCTATATTAATTTTTTCTTCGTTTAGTGTCGTCCAACAGACCCAGTTTTTTGGCATTTTTTAAAAAAGCAAGAAAAAGAAACGACAAGGTTTATTTTTGTTTGGACTTAAATTAATTCTTTTAATCTAAAAACTGAGCATTATAACAGCATTTCCAGGAATAAAACGATCGGTGGTGTATCCTTTTTGCTTTTTACCCTTTTTGGGCCTCTTTTTTTATCAAATTGACCATCACATTTTCCGCCATATTGAGTTTGTGTCGATTTGGTGACCATGTCTTGTTGTTTTCAGGCTCCACGGCAATGATGCTGGTGTTTCAGGCCTCCTGTTCTCAGATTTCTTGTGATTTTTTTTCACCCCACCGACCGACACACCCAAAACCGGGAAACCTATTCGACGCCAAACGAACGAAAAGGGGATGACCTAAGCCTTATGGTTTCTTTTTGGGCTTCCTCACCACATTGCTTCTGCGTATTTCTGTATACTTGTCTTTTGCTTTGTTTTGTTCTTTTTTGTCGGTAAAATAAACTGAAACTGTACAAAGACCCCCAATATTCTCTTTGGAGGTTCTCGAACGCACATAAAAAAAATGAAAAACGCGATGATTTATTGACCGCAAGGGCAATGGGTTGGGGTTAGGGCTCGTTACTGCGCTCCGGTTCACTCGTGCGCTGTCAAATGGTCCCGATACAGTTATTTCGAGAAAGGTTGTCGGAAAACATGTGCACGCGACAATTCCGAAAGGTAATATGGGATATGATCAATACACTGTTCCTAACGACTGTAGCTGTCGAACCTACTATTGTTGCTTTCCTTTAGCAATCCCATACATAACATCGCAAACATCCCGTACCATTCTTTCAAATTTCTTTGAAGAACAGTGCACTCAAAACCACCCACAATACCTTTCGGGATTGTCGCGTGCACTTTTTCCGACAACATTTCTCGAAATAGCTGTGTACAAAATGAAAAGTGACTGCGGACAGACTATTCACGTCTGAACATCAAGCATCTTTTAAGATGGGAATTATCGCCTCTCCCTGTTCATGGAGTTGATTCAAGGTGTTGACGTCAATTTCGTGATGCCCTGCATGTTGCCGGGACATGTTTCAAAAGGGCCTTTCCACAGCTACGGAGTCCGCCGTCACCTTGTCAACCGTGCGAGAAATGATGTACTTCACAAAAACAAAGAGAAGTTATTTTCGATTTGCCCTGCCCTCTACCCCCGAAAGTCCCCGTCAGGACCGCTTCAAAGTACTCCCCACCCCCGGGCCCAAATGGCTTGACTTGTCCCTGTGGTTGCGCGGGGGATAGTAACAGGTCTAACTAATTGCACTGTGCATCAATGACAGTTAAACTCAATCAGAAGCCCCTTTTCCCTGGCTAGGTCAAGGTGTGTGCACCTCTTTTAAGCTGTTCTTTTGGGTTCTTACTGAAAGTTTTGATCTTGAGGAAATTCACAACGACCGGAGCAGGTTATGAGCTTTTTTCCCACCCCTAATCCTACATCACGGGAAATTGGGAAATCCCGCAGGTTAGGCAAGAATTCGATAATCCCTAAATAATCATCCATTTTTTCACCGCGTGAATTGGGTATTTTTTAGCTTATTTCGAGGAAATACGTTTTGCTTCAAATCCAGAGTGGGCTTTTAAACACATTTTTTAAGCCAAATGGTTTTTGCGTGAATCTGCTTACCGGAACTTTTCGTATAAAAAAAGACAAATACCCGAAAAAGCTCGAGTTGTTGGTGGTGGTGGCATATTTCCGATAAATTCAGTTCAATGTCTCGTGAAGAAGAGTTCAGATCCGTGCCGCGCGCCTCTCGAGGCAAGCGTTCCGTCGAAATGCGAGCCCAAAAACAGGTGGTAAGCGGTCAATCTGGGAAAAGTAACGCAATCTCCGTCGTTTGAGAGCAGCCGAAGATGCTCTTGCCGATGCTGTCCTTGATGTTTTTTATTTCCAGTATCTTGGAAACCCATGCTAAGGTATGAAACATACACTCGTAGGCATTGTTCTGTCCGCTAAAGTCTAATTCCTGGACGCAGAAACGCTGTGCTTTTTGAAGTTTATTATTGTGCTTTGCCAACCTTACGTGACTCGTGCGTTAAACCACTGTTGCTCAAACTGATTTCTTATTGCATTTTTCTGAGTTTTTAGCATCGGCCCGCTGAGTCTGGAAAGCTCAAATTTCAGAAAAGTACTACTTGTATTTTTTGGCCTCAAAAATTTTCTTTTAAGCTGCCCATAGTTTTGAAAACAGATTTTGAAAGAAGAGATAACTCTCTTTAACGTGGTATAAGACTCGTTACTGAAATCGAGGTACCAGTCGACGATTTGGGGCTTTGAAATTTGCCATTTTTTCATTGAACGAAAACGTTCAAAATATTAAAAATAATGAAAAATCTCCAAAATATTACATTTTCGCTCAAACTGAGTAAATCACCACTTAAAATGTGTGCAATTATGTACTCTTCGGAATAAGTTATTTGTTGTCCGCATTAGAATGGATTTGAATTTTAAAACGATTTTTTTGTGACACATGGTCTCGGGCTTGGAAAACCAGGTCCGAGAGCCGCGAAACCAATAACCCCCTCGTACGTGGAAAATAATTATCGGATCGAGGTAAA